GGGTACGTAGGAGGGGGGGGGGCAGTAGCAAAGGTCGCAACAGCAACAGCCAAGGTCGCAGCACCAGCAGCAGCTGTCGTAGGGGGCGGTGGGCCCTGGGAGTGTTGGCCATGGTGGGGGCCCTGGTGGTTGGGCCTCGGTGAAGTCGGTGCCCTGGGGTTCAGGTTCTATTATCCTACTGTGTACATTCTAGGCTCCTCTGCCATGTGTAGTCTTGGATCCCCTACTATTCCACCATTGGGCCCCACTGCGGCGGACCTCTCCTTCACACTCAACTCTAGAGCAGCTCACTGATTCTTCTGAGACGGCACTGCTCTCACATCGCTTTCGGCACCAGTACTGGTCTCCCTAGAAGACTCGCCTACCACAGTCATTGCCCGCAGCACTATGGCCCTCCGCTGCCCGACCGTCTCGCCTTGCTCCCTTACCAGCCTGCACATCCCCACGTTTACTAGGAATCTGGTTGGTGTCGGTCATATTCAGGACCTCGGTGTCACCATCATGTCTCGTGGCTACAAGCGGTATGCAGCTTGTACGGGACGCAACCACGAGCACCCGCCTCACCACCTTTGACAGTGACCCAGCATCAGGTCTCTTCACACTGCATATGGCGTCTCCCCAGATATGTGCATCCACCCAGGTTGCCGCGTCTTGCTCCTGTCGCTCCCTCACTCAACCGGCACTCCTTTGGCACCATCGCTTAGGCCACTCTTCCCTCCCGCGTCTCCGTCATTTGGCACAACAAGGCCAGGTCACTTGTCTTCTCGCGTCACTCCCCGCCCTCCCCACCTCGATAGCACCCATGTGCACCTCCTGCATGGAGGGCCAACAATACGCCGCCCCTCACTTGTCCTCTTTTCCTCCAGCCACTGCATCGCTTCAAACCCTGCACATGGACGTCTGGGTCCCTGGGCCTCATAGGGAGCTCTACTTCTTAGTTATTGTAGACGAATTCTCACGCTTTACCACGGTATTTCCCTTATTGCAGGAGGCTGACATGCCTTACGCCCTCCTCCTGTGGCTCCGAGTCATCCGCACCCAGCACTCCATGGACGTGCTCCGCCTTCACTCGGATCGTGGTGGCGAGTTTGCCTACGGTCGTTTCGGAGCAAACTGCCGCACGGAAGTCGTCACCCTACCGGACTCGCCACATCAGATTGGGGTAGCTGCGCGACGTATCGGCCTGATCATGGAGATGGCTCACACCTCCATGGCCGATGCCGGTGCCCTCTATTTTCTGTGGCCATTCACGGTCCAGTATGCGACTCACTAGCTTAGTCTGTGGTCTAGCACCTCGCAGTTACAGGTTTCTCTGACCATCCTATGGGCTGGGTCCCCTAGTAACGCGTTTGTGTTCCACGTCTGGGGCTGCCTGACTCACGTCCGTGACACTAGTGTGGAAAAGCTCTTAGCCCACAACATATCTTGTACAGTATCTTCCTTGGTTTCCCGTTTGATGCTGATGACTGGTTGTTCTACCACCCGATACAGCACCGCTTCTTTCGCTCACGTCACATTTCGTTTGACGAGTCTGTCTCCTTCTATGCTCACTTCCCTCTCCGTGGCCCTTGCGTTCCTCCTCCTCCTCTTCCTCGCCCATGCCTGCCTGTCGCTCCCCTCCCACCCCTCTCGGCCCTGTCTGGTGTCTCCCATGCCACCCCCCTCCCCTCGGTTGGGACCATGGGGGAGTCTTTTGTCTCTTGGAGCCCCATGGCTTGGGTTTCACCTGCCGCAGCTGTGGCGCCCTTCATCCCAGCCCCAATGCCCCAGGTACCTCAGCAGCCTCCCCCACCGCGGAAGCCGCAGCAGCAGCAGAAGCCGCCGCAGCCGTCACCGCAGCCGAAGCTGCAGCATCGATGGGGGACTGTGGGGCCTAGGGTTGGTGGTTATGGGAGCGCCAATTCTAAGGGTGCTGACTCTAGGGGTGTTGGTTCTGGGGGTGCCGACTCTGCGGGTGCTGGTTCTAAGGGTGCTGGTATTGGGGGTGCTGACTCTGAGAGTACTTGTAGTGGTAGTGGTGTTGCTGGGGGTCCTGACGTGGGTCGGAGCAGCAATAGGAGCAGCAGCACCACCACCACCAGCCGCGGTTTGCCCTTCGTCTCCTCGACCTTTCCTCCGGCTCCCATGATTGCTAGCCCATGCCTCCCACTGTCTCTGGCCCGTTGTTCCCTCTCCCGGAATCGTCTCCGGCTCGTTTCCCCCCTCGTTCTCCTCTGTCCCCTATACCATCCTCCGTTGCCCACTCATGGGTGCGTTGTTTCCCTGGTGGTCGTCCTATCTCTCCTCTTCCTCGTCTCCACCCTATGGCCCTTCGTCATCGTGCTCCTCCAGTTCTTGCCGTGCTGCTACTTCCTTTGTTCTCCCTACCCTCTTCCTCTGCTCCTCCCTCTGACTCAGCTTGCATCGCACGCCCAATGGTCCCCTGCTTACTTGCCTCTCTTGTTACGGACCCTACGGCTCCTGCTGGCGTCTCCGCCCTTGTCGCTGCTGTCGTCGACTTAGTTGCGTGCCACCGCCTTGACTACGCCTTCGCTTTGGTCTCTTGCACTTCCCATCCTCCGTCCGTCAGGGGTGCACCTGCCCTTAGCAGTGACATCTTAGAGGTCATGCACTATGAGCTGGCTTTCCTTGCGGCTATTGTACATTATCTCTGCACTACGGTAGTGTCCCTTTAGGGTGACCAGGATGCCTTAGACATCCCTACCCCGCGCTCATACGCTGAGGCAGTTTCAAGGCCATGGGCAGCCCAATGGCATCTTATAGAGCTATTAGCACTTACATCGACGCAGTACCTCTACTTCGGGCGAACATAGTCAATGGCATGTGGATCATAAATGTGAATCGCTCGCGTGGAGAGCTGCTGCAGTTCGAGGCGCAATATGTGGCCAAAGGCCTCAGCCATCGTGAGGGTGTGGACTTCTCCCTGACCTTCTCCCCCACCCCGAAGATGACTACTCTTTAAGTGCTCCTCACTTAGCTGCACAGCATCACTACGAGCTCCACTCGTTTGACTTCTCGACAGTCCTCTTATACGGCAGCTTGTAGGCTTGCGGGTTATTATTCTAGCCTGTAGCATGTAGCCTTTAGCCTTCTTCGAGAAGATCTTCTTACGACGCCCAACAGGCTTCACCATATCATTTTCCCTCCTATAATCCAGTGGAGGCTATGGCGCCTTGTTTATAGTCTACGGCAGGCGCCCCGTAAGTGACATGACACGCTCCGCACTACACTAGCGGCTCTCCTGTTTTTCCCATCCTCTGACGTTTGAGTCAACCCAGTCATCGTTCGTGCTGGCCAGACTCCCTTCTATATCCTTGCATACGTAAACGACCTGATCGAGACAAGGTTGCACTGGCCTCAGTGAAGGTTGAGTTACTCAGGTGACACACTTGCATTGACCTGGGAGAGCTATGGTTTAAAGATCTCTCGTAACCACGCAGCGCGCAAAGCCATCCTTTCCCGGTCCCATATGGTATAGCAGGTTCTCCAGAGGTTTGGTCTTCATTTCTCATCCGCATAGCCCACTCCACTGCCTTTGGACCACATGTCCTCAGCTCCAGACTTTGGTGAGTCAGTTGAGCTCAGTTGTCCCTATGCAGAGCTGGTGGGATGCCTCATATACCTGATGACGTGCACTTGCCCAGATTTTGGGTACCCTCCCAGCATTCTCGCTCGCTTCATCGCGACTGGCAGACACCGACCAAAGCACTGGTCGGCTGCTAAGAAAGTATTGTGGTATCTAGCGAGTACCTCAGACCTGAGGCTTATGGTGGGATAACAAGCGTCAGTGGTCCTCACTAGACATACAAACACGTCGTGGGCTGACGACCTGGAGACACTCAGGTCGTCACAAGGTTACCCGAATATAACCCAACTTTTTGGGATGTCCGAAGTAGGGTCCTCTAAACGTGCTCCCGGGAAGGGATCAAGATATTCTTTTTATTTCGTCCTGACACTCAACAGGAGGGCAGAATGCGAGGAAGAATAGCGGCAATGCACAACGTTATCAGAAGCTTTTCGCACGCATCCGAGGGTTGCATGATGATCCTACGAAAGCAGGCACCCCAAGTTCATACCCCATGATGCGCGAGCATTGGAAAAATTGCAACGTAGGGTTGGAGAGGATAGTCCAGCACTCAGATAGCTCCTAGGCCATCCGAAATTGTGTTTCAGAATTTCGGGATTCTTTTTATACGAGACTTTGCGTCGCACGGCTTCATTCAAGTTGTACACGCACATCGGTGCCCAAAACAAGCTCCCGTGACGTCCAAATGTGTTAGGAGTTTCGGGGGCTCGCAGAAGGCAGCTAAGCTTTGGCTTTTATTTAGAGGATTTTTAGTTACTAAGAAATATGAGGTTTGTTAAAACATGTATTCGTAACTTAAGAAAAAAACAATTCTACGAAAAACTATAGACTGTTCCACGAGTAAAGTGCAGGATAATCGGTACAAACTCTGTAAAGACGTGGCTGACATGAGCCACCAAATCATTCTCTCTTCCAGACCGTTCGATGAGCATCGCACGGTCCACATCCCTTGTCCTTGAAAACATTCACCCACCAGCATAGCATGGTTGGCTGGATAACCCCAGTAATACGTCCTGAAACCGGTTGTTAAACATTTTTAACATTCTGGAACGTATCTCACCTCTTTGAAACGTACTGTGACGTCCTGAAACGTTATGCGAGGTCTTCTTCGGACACCCCCTTATCGACACCATCGCTCCACATCGACCAGGCTTGCCATGATGTCATCCACAACGGCTCGCCACGTGTTCGCAGTAACCCAACCACCTCACTCGTTGCGGATTACCCTCCCCTACCAGCTCCTGTGACTCGAGGGATCAGGCACGGAATTCCCAAGGCCAGTCCAGGCTTCCGTTCCCTGCTTCCCTTTCCTGCGTTCTCCCTACCGAGCCTTCCAGTCCAGCCAAGGCTTCCTGCCTTCTGCCCAACCACCCTCTCAGCGAGGGGTGCTCCCTATATTCGTCCTCTGATCCTCTGCTGGCTGGAGGCTAATTTCAGTCAGCTTGTCACTTCCACTTAGCCTACTTTCCCTAGGCTAGTGGTTACTGGTCTCTCTAGTACCCTGCCTGTTCTAGGTGCTGCTGGCCATTGCGAGTTAAACTGTATCGGCTCCTAGCTTTTAAGGACATAGAAAAAGACTGGCTAAAGTCATGGCAGGAGCCATCGCACCATCGTCGGCCTCGGTCTCAACCAAGGTCGTCGGTACAGTCAGCACAACCGGAACTGGTAGGAAATCGCGTCGCTCCGCTGCGACCAGTGTCACTGCGCCACGTGCCCTGCAGCCGTTCTCAGGGCTTAGGAGCAATGGTCAGACGATCGGAGCGGCTAAGGAGGGAGCTAGCCTCGCGTCTGTCGTTGCTAAGCAGTCTAAGGCCGGGCGATCGGGGAAGGCGTCGCGCGGTGTTGCCGTCGCTATGTTCGAGCGATTCACTGAGAAGGTGCGATCAGAGCGTCGATGTGACTAGGAGTAGTTTCCGATCTGTCATTTGCCCGACTGTTCTGACGCGACTATGGTTGTTTTCGTTTCCGAAATTCAGCCCTCCAATTTGAAACAACAATGCTGGTCCTTCAACAACTACTTGTGATATTTCCTGTCAAATTCCGCTGGGGTTTCCTGTTGTGCTTTTCCCCCGCATTTTCTGCGCACCGTTCACGACGCACATGTTAAGGAATTGCTTTGTTGGCGCAGGAACAGGCTCGATCGTCTGGGTCACAATTTTGTGGGCAAGGAGCAGACCCTCCTCGGGCTCACCGTGCTTCGGCTCCTGTACACTTCTCTCACGCCGTTGCCATGCGTCAACCCACTCTCTATCCCGCCCCGCCAGGCCATCAAGGTGATCATGCTGGCGCAGGAAGAGGCCCGGCGTCTGGGCCACAACTTCGTTGGCACGGAGCAGATTCTCCTGGGGCTCATCGGCGAGGGCACGGGCATCGCCGCCAAGGTGCTCAAGTCGCTCGGCGTCAACCTCAAGGAGGCGCGCGTGGAGGTCGAGAAGATCATCGGTCGCGGGTCGGGCTTCGTCGCTGTGGAGATTCCGTTCACTCCGCGCGCCAAGCGCGTGCTCGAGCTCTCGCTGGAGGAGGCTCGCCAACTTGGTGAGGATCGTTTTCAGGATGGATGAGATGCGGCCTACTTAGTGTGAGTGATGTAGCGAGGCGAGTTGATCTAAACGGATGCGCTCAGGCCGTGTTGCACCTGGCTTGTTAGATTGCGTAGTGGTTTTTTTGGGCGTTATTTTTCTTCCGATCGCGGTCCACAACTACATTGGCACAGAGCGCCTCCTACGTCTGGGTGCTCCCAATCGTCTTGTCAGGCACCTGAGATGGAATATCGTCATCCGGATGTTTTCCCCTATCGCAGGCCACAAGTCTACTGGCACGGAGCACCTGCTGCTGGGTCTCTCCGCGAGGACGAGTTGTGATGCAATTGTGTCTTGATGCGTCTGACGATTCTTTCCATTTCTTCTGTTTTCTTCCATTGCAGGCCACAACTACATCGGCACGGAGCATCTGCTGCTGGGTCTCCTCCGCGAGGGCGAGGGCGTCGCTGCTCGCGTGCTCGAGAACCTTGGCGCCGACGCCGGCAACATTCGCTCCCAGGTAACCAGCCGCACGCAGGTATAGCCATGCTTGGCCCATCGGTTCCAAATGCTCCTCGTTGTTGCTTTTCTATTTTATTAAGCCTGGCGACATGTTTAAAATCTTTTTCTTCTTGGCTGTTTTCCTCGCGCGTGTCTGTGTCTGCGGCAGGTGATCCGCATGGTGGGCGAGAGCGCGGAGGCGGTGGGTGCGGGAGTGGGCGGCGGCAGCAGCAACTCCAAGATGCCCACGCTCGAGGAGTACGGCACGAACCTCACCAAGCTCGCCGAGGATGTAAGCCGTGCGCTCGTGCTTAGCCGTGCGTTGTTATTGGGACGTCCAGTGCAAAGAATCGTAGGCCTTCACGATGCCCACGCTCGAGGTGTACGGCACCAATTTTACCAATCCCCCCGAGGAAGTTGAAGCCACCCTTTGTGTGCTATCTTGTAAACTCTCGTTGCAACTTCTCCCGTTATCGATCCCTCTCCCCCAATTGATTCCGCAGGGCAAGCTCGACCTGGTGGTGGGGCGCGTGGTGCGCTCTTGGTAATCTATCTATTGACCGCTCATCGTTCCGCCTCCCGCGTTTTATCCCCTCCCCCTCCCCCATTCCGCAGGGCAAGCTGGACCCGGTGGTGGGGCGCGTGTCGCAGATCGAGCGCGTGACGCAGATCCTGGGCCGCCGCACCAAGAACAACCCGTGCCTCATCGGCGAGCCTGGCGTCGGCAAGACCGCCATCGCAGAAGGGCTCGCTCAGCGCATCGCGGGCGGCGACGTGCCCGAGACTCTCGAGGGCAAGAAGGTGAGACTGCTGGATGCATTGTGCCTTTCTGTCTGTCTCTCTGGCTGGCTGGCTGGCTATTTGTCTGCCGTCTCGTTCCGTTCGTGTTTTGTCATTGCGGGCGCTGTGGGGGAACCAATGAGATGAAGATCAGGAAACTTATTTAATCGCATCATCAGGGAACTCAGAGACCGAGACAGTGGTGACTTTCGGAGGAATCAATGGGCGGGTTCAGCCAGGCGGACGACTTCATCCTCTTCATCGCCCCCCTCCCTCCCCCTCCCCTTCCCCTTCCCCGCCCAGGTCATCACCCTGGACATGGGTCTGCTTGTAGCGGGGACGAAGTACCGTGGAGAGTTCGAGGAGCGGCTGAAGAAGCTGATGGACGAGATCAAGCAGGCGGACGACATCATCCTCTTCATCGACGAGGTGCACACGCTCATCGGCGCGGGTGCGGCTGAGGGCGCCATCGACGCTGCCAACATCCTCAAGCCCGCCATGGCTCGCGGCGAGCTGCAGGTGCGTGTTGCTGTTATCGGACGAGGGCTGTTGTGCGTAACGTAGCATGTGAGGTGCACTCGCTCATTGGCTCTGATGCTGCTGAGGGCGCCAAGTTGCGCCGCCAGCATTTTCAAGCACGCCAAGTTCCCCGTCGAGCTGCAGGTGCGCCTTCTGAGGAGTTTTGTCGCATGTAAGGGTGCCGCCGGCATTGTTGCCTTGCACTGTAGCTCGTGTTGATCCCAGATTTCCGTGCTACCTTCCGCCCATTCCCACGTCGAGCTATCGCACCCACACGCTCTTGGTCCCACACTCGTCTCATCTAACAGCGAGGGTCGTTCTGTTTTAGGCTATACGTGGTAAACCCTGTCCCCTTCCTCTCCCTCGCGCGCAGTGCATTGGCGTCACCACGCTTGACTAGTACCGCAAACACATTGAGAAGTACGCCGCTGCCGAGCGCCTTGTTTTGCTCACATGCTCGCCGCCCTCACCTTTCTCCACACCCCCTGGTTTTGAGGCGCCTCAAAATTACGCTCCCGAGCGCCTTGTTTTGCTCACATGTTCGCCGCCCTCACCACTCGCCACACCCCCTTGCTCCTCTCTCTTTGCTTCCCCACAGTGCATCGGCGCCACCACCCTCGACGAGTACCGCAAGCACATTGAGAAGGACCCCGCCTTGGAGCGCCGCTTCCAGCCCGTGCAGGTAGGCGGCTCGTTGGGGCGCGGGGGCCCTTCGTGGAGGGGCCTCGTGAAGGGGCTTGTGTGGGGCTCGTGGAGGGGCTTGTGTGGGGCTCGTGGGGGCCCTCGTGGGGGGCCTTGTGTGGGGCTCCTGGGGACCCTCGTGAAGGGCCTTGTGGGGCTCGTGGGGGCCCTCGTGGGGGGCCTCGTGGGGGCCTTGTACGGGGCTCGTGGGGGACCTCGTGGGGGCCGTCTTGGGGGGCTCATCGATGGGGTTTGGGAAATCGAGGGCTTGTGGGGCATTTGAGTTAGGAGCGGTCGGAACGTTCTGATCTCTTTCCCTGGCCCTGGCCCTGACCCTGGCCCTTTTAAAGCCGTCACATAGCTGTCAGTGGATGAGACAGTCCTGCAGGAGCCACAGGAGAGTTCAATCCCTCGTTTCCCCTCGCCCTGAAACCCTGCAGGTGCCGGAGCCCACGGTTGAGGAGACTATCCTGATCCTCCAGGGGCTGAGGGAGCGCTACGAGATTCACCACAAGCTGCGGTACACGGACGAGGCGCTCGCCGCGGCCGCGCAGCTGTCGTACCAGTACATCAGCGACCGCTTCCTGCCCGACAAGGCCATTGACCTGATCGACGAGGCGGGGTCGAGGGTTCGCCTGCGGCACGCGCAGCTGCCCGAGGAGGCCAAGGAGCTGGACAAGCAGCTGAGGCAGATCACCAAGGACAAGAACGAGGCCGTGCGCAACCAGGACTTTGAGAAGGTGAGAGAATAGATAGAGAGGTTGCCAGCCAGGGGAGCTTATGTCGAGCGCTCGAAGGCCCTCTAGGAGCTGGACAAGCGGCCATGGCAGATCAGATCACCAAGGACGAGAACGAGGCCGTGCGTATCCAGGACTTTTAGAAGGTGAGAGAGCAGGGTGCTGTTTGATTCGGAACGCCGAATGCAGGCCATAGGGCTTTTTCCTTCCCGGTCTTTTCCATTGGAGCTGATCTGCGCTCAGATCTATCTCCTGGTCGCGCAGCTCGCACGCCTATCGTGCAGCGCAGCAAGGAGCAGAGCTAGGCAAAGGCCAAAGCCCCTCCCAACTCCTTCATGTGTCGCTCACATACCCTTCCCTAAACCCCGAACCCTGTCCCTTCAGGCGGGCGAGCTGCGCGACCAGGAGATGGACCTGAAGACGCAGATCAGCGCCATCATGGAGAAGAGCAAGGAGCAGAACAAGGCGGAGGTGGAGGCGTCGGGTGGCGCGGGTGGCCCGGTGGTGACGGAGGCGGACATCCACCATATTGTGTGCGCGTGGACGGGCATCCCCGTGGAGAAGGTGTCCAGCGACGAGAGCAGCCGGCTCTTGAAGATGGAGGCGACGCTGCACAACCGCGTTATTGGGCAGGACGAGGCGGTCAAGGCCATCAGGTGGGTTGAGAGTGTGCGATGGTTGTGAACACAGTGCTGATTGGCGGTGATGATAGTGGTGCTGCATCCCTCACACCCAAGGTCTTGAGAACCCCAACTGCCCCATTGCCAACTTCATGCTCTCTTCCCCATGTGTCCCCACTCGCTCGCGCTTCCCCTCCCCTCGCTCTTCCCGCCCCCCTCGCTCCCCTCCGTTTCCCCAGTCGCGCCATTCGCCGCGCGCGTGTGGGGCTGAAGAACCCCAACCGCCCCATTGCCAGCTTCATCTTCTCTGGCCCCACCGGTGTCGGCAAGTCGGAGCTCGCCAAGTCTCTTGCCGCCTACTACTTCGGCTCTGAGGAGGTATGCTTCTCTGCAGTTGCCATGCAGTGTTTTTTTTTCACTGGCTTATGCTGCCTCCCTTTCTCAGACACTCATTCAGTCTAACTCGCCTACAAGAACGCACAGTCACACACATTACCACCCCTCCCCGCCCCTCCCCTCTCCCCACTCCTGGGTATGGTGCGTCTGGACATGTCGGAGTTCATGGAGCGCCACACGGTGTCCAAGCTTGACATTCACGCCGACTCATTGTCATTTGCGCACCTCCCCCCCCCCCCCCCCCCCCATCCACCCCCTCCCCTTCCCCTTTTCCTTCCCCCTTGCCTCTTACTTCCAGGCCATGGTGCGGCTGGACATGTCTGAGTTTATGGAGCGCCACACGGTCTCCAAACTCATTGGCTCACCCCCCGGCTACGTGGGGTACAGCGAGGGCGGCCAGCTCACCGAGGCCGTCAGACGGAGGCCGTACACCGTGGTGTTGTTCGACGAGATTGAGAAGGCGCACCCCGACGTCTTCAACATGATGCTCCAGGTGAGTTGGGTAGCGAGATTCGGCTATGAGTGGGGTTGAGAGAGTAGTGCTGGCGGCCATACACAGTTGTGCTGTTTGATTTGGTGAGATTTCGAAGGCGTCACCTGACGTCTTCACCATGTGGTTACCGTGCCGATTCCTGTTTCTCTATTCCTCATTCTCTCCGTGCATCAGATTCTGGAGGACGGGCGGCTGACGGACAGCAAGGGGCGCACGGTGGACTTCAAGAACACGCTGCTCATCATGACGTCCAATGTTGGATCGTCCGTCATTGAGAAGGGCGGCGGTGGCATCGGCTTCCAGGTGGGCTCCTGTCATTGGCTTCCAGGTGGGTTATTGTTCTATGTCCGACCATGGCATTGCTTTGCAATTCCAGAATTCTCGGTTCTGTCGTAACAAGATGACTTGTGAGTCGACTCAAAAGCCAGCTACGGCACTCTTTTAAGATATTCCGGAAGTGTTGTGTCTGCTCATGGAAGAGTTTCATCTTATTTTTTCCCTCAGCTTGACTACAACTAGATGGATACGAGCTACAATTGCATCATGTCCCTTGCAAACGAGGAGCTCAAGCAGTACTTCTGGCCCGGGTTATTGAGCCACCCTAACCCTCTCGTCCTTAACCTGCTGTGTTAATCCTTTGCCATCCTTTCCCCCCCCTTCCTCCTTCCCCCTTCCAGCTGGACTATGGCGAGAAGGACACGAGCTACAACCGCATCAAGTCGCTGGTGAACGAGGAGTTGAAGCAGTACTTCCGCCCCGAGTTCCTGAACCGGCTGGATGAAATCATCGTCTTCCGCCAGCTCACCAAGCAGGAGGTCAAGGAGATCTCCGACATCATGCTGCGCGAGGTCTTCGAGCGCCTCAAGAAGAAGGACATCGACCTGCAGGTGGGTTGTGGTGAAAAGAATGACATGCTGTGGGTTGGCTGACATTGTCTCTTACCAATGCCTGCCTCCTAACCCCCCCCCTTCTTCTCGTAACACTGCCTCCACTGCACCCCACCCTCGTACCGCAGGTGACGGAGCGCTTCAGAGATCGGGTGGTGGACGAGGGCTACAGCCCCAGCTACGGTGCCAGGCCGCTGCGACGAGCCATCATGAGGCTGCTGGAGGACAGGTGAGCCACTAGGAGGCTGGTGCTGGAGGGCAGGTTACAGGCTGGTACAGTGAGTTCTGTGCGTTGCACGAATTGAGTACCCTTTCCTGCTGTTGTGCCGCATCCCTCATGTGTGACGTTTCCTTTTGTTTGAAATTCGTGCAGCATGGCGGAGCGCATGCTGTCTGGGGAGGTGAAGGAGGGCGACAGTGCAATCATTGATGTGGATGCTGATGGCAACGTCACTGTGCTCAACGGCAACACGGGCACTGCCACCTCCACTGCCATTGAAGCCCCAGCGGGCATCTCTTAGGTGGCTTCAGCTGTTATGGAAGCTGGCTAGTAGCTTTGTGCTTGGATTCTACTCAGATTTATGGTGATTTTTTCCAGGTAGGAACTTGTGCTTTATAACTTTGTGAGGTCAGTTCCAATAACGATTCCTGGTGCGTTTATGCACTCGTAACGGCTGTCGTAACCGCTGTCTCCTTCGTCAGCAACTACAGAACTGTTGGCCAACCAGCACGCGTGCGATTCCTTGTTGCGCTTTGGGCGAATCTGACGTGGAAAACGCAAACTCGGGGGCTTCGCTGTTGCCATAAATGACCGGCGCGCAGTTGCATCATCGGAGATTAGACCTACGTGGAAGTTGTAGTCGTGTTCGTGTCGTCACGTGTGTTATTGGTGGAGCCTGCACAAGCAACGCTGACCTGGACATCTCATCATAGCATAACTGGGATCCAGCCGTGCCATCGAATCATGTTGATTGGTTGAATCCAGGTCACGAACCGCATTCTAAGTTCCTCTTCGATGAGCGACGCCAGCAGCATCACCCAGAAATCTCCTCTTCGTTCAAATTTCTTCGACTATTGCCTCGCCTCCCCCGCTACCTCAGGATTGGGTTTCCGCCTCTTTTTTGCGGCACAGCTTTGGAGATTCCACGCCTATAAAGTCCAGCTCTGCCTGCATTCCTACAACATAGTTTCTCCAGCTCGCCCGCTTGCCAGACGCCTGCAGCTTCAGCTTCCCCTTCGATTTTCTTACGTCCTTCATTTCTAGCCATGGCTGACAAGGAGTGCACCTGCGGTACTGGATGCTCCTGCTCGACCGGCGGAGCATCATGCGGATGCGGAGCCGGATGCAAGGCCGGGCCTAGCTGTTCCTGCAAGGTAGGTCAACTAGCTGCACCGTTTTAATTTGTTGAAACCTTTTCGTGAATTTCTTCCAGGCCGCTGCACTTTTCCCTTGCAACTTGCGCCTGGATGTAATCGGTGCTGGTTTGCTTGCGGTTCCTACCCCGCCTTTGGCGTTTCTTCATACCTGGTGGGCAACTGACTTCCAGAGGCGTCTCAACTATTCGTTATTATCATCTACCTGTTATCTTGCAGGGCGGTTCGTCCTGCGCGTGCGGCGAGACCTGCGCGTGCGACTCGTGCTCCTGCGGGGAGGGCTGCTCCTGCAAGACCCGCACGTGCGCGTCTGGCGGCGCCTGCACCTGCGGCGACGGATGCGGCTGCGGCGCGGGATGCAGCTGCAAGAAGTGATCGACTAATTCTACGGCGTCTAGAGATCCAATTCGTTCTCAAAAGGCTTTTCTTTTCCTTACGTGTAGATACGTAATCGACCCGTGGATTCGCTTGTGTAAACCAATCCACGGAAAATAGGAGAAGTGTGCGTGCGTTCAGATGCGCTATTGTAAAGCCCGAATCTTCAATGCTTGACTCGTAAATCCAGAGCCATGTCAGATGCAGCAATCAGTAGCTTGCCATCAGCAGTACCCTCATCACTACGAACGTGTTTGAGAGATTGCGTCTCCAAGCAGAGAGGGGGCAGTTGGCGTCCCCCAAAAATTCCAGGCTGACTGTTCCTGAGAACACAAAGAACACTACTGGCTCCTTGCTCTAAAGGCCGAAATCATACAGGAACTATTCTTAAAAGAGTTTCATCGGTAGGAAAGTTGGTATAAGGTGTCCGTTCCGATTGGTGGACGGAGAAGGGTGGACGCAGAACGAGTTGGCGAGAGGAAATTGGTCGGCGAAACTCGCCAGGCTTGCGAATTTTCGGCACGAATGGTTTTTCAAAAATTCGCCGATCTATATTTGGTCATCACAAGGACCCAGGGAGGCGAATCTCGTCTTTTGTGCGCTAAGTTGAGTGGGTAACTTTAGTTCGACGAAATTGTTTCGCAGGGGAATTCTTCGCCCCAACCTCCAACCCAAACCTAAACAGGGTGACACAACCAACCTTCCTACGGTTGAGCCAGTTTCGGCAGTTTTGGAACAGCGGTTTTATTACTCCAGCACTAATCTCTGAATAATGTTGTAGAGAAACTCGCTCCAGGCGTCCGCGGGTCCTGGTGAGCAGTAGTGCAGGCAGTCTGTCTTCTGTTCCCTGATCCTTCCCCTGTGACCATGGATTCAGCAGTATCCAAGAACACGCCCCCCATCTCCTCCACCTCCTCTGCCCGTCGTACCTAATATTCAGGGATTAATCTTTGAATAACGTTGTACAGAAACTCGCTCCAGGCGTCTTCTGGGCCTGGCGAGCAGTAGTGCAGGCAGTCAGTTTTCTGTTCCGTGATCCTTCCCCTATGTCCATCCGGCCGCAGAGCAGTCATGGGCTCGACGTCCATGAACACGCCCCCCATCTCCTCCACCACCCCCCTCACCAGCTCATTCTGCCTCTTGAAATTCCCCCAGCCGAAGGGGAGAGTCTTCGGGTCCTGCCTCTGCTTGATCGGCCCCTTGAATTTCGTGCAGTCCTTGTGCCCTGGGGCTGTCGACCGGAATACCACCAGCTTTTCCGGGTAATTCTGGCGTATAAACTGCATCGTCCGTCTCACGGCGGCAACCGTTCGCTCGTCCGACGTAGGATGGGCCCCCCGGTTGATCACCAACACATGGGAATTCACAATCCCCGGGTCATCAAGCCACGGCATGTTTTTCCACCACAGCCGCTCGTCCTTTTCCGAATCCACCGGCATGAGCCTTTTATTGAAGACCGAGTGTAGCTCCAGCCCGGGGCAACCCAGCCCTGTGAATCTCTCATGGCAGTACACGGGGTGGGAGCCAAGCCAGGGCAGGCACTTGCGGAACGTGGCGGCTTTTAGGGCGGGTTTGGGCACGTGCTTAAGTATGTTGTTTAGGAAAGAGACGTGGGCCTCCTTGGAGAGAGAGTCTCCAAGGAAGGCGATGCGGAGGCCATCGTCACGCAAGCGAGCCAGCCGACACAGGGACCGCCCGTCAAACCGAGAGAACAATCCCTCACCAGGAGCACCACTAGCGCCACCACCGCCACCATCAGCACTGTCATCATAATCGGTCCCACCTCCTGCACCTCCCTCCTCCCTCTCACTGTCCAGCCCAAACGGCGACGCAAACACCCCACTGCCAACAGCAGGGCATCGTTCCCCTGGCACCACCCACTCATACTTGAGCTCCTCCCTCACCCGCCACCTCTTCTCTGCGTCTTTCCCTCCCTCTCTCGCTATCTCGTCCGCATCTGCAAAGGCCACCCCGCCTTTGACCTGGTCAACGTGGGCCATGTCGCAGTGGTCCAGCGACTTCCAGTTCCAGGGGAGCGCGCGCGGCGTGGCGTTGTACCGCCACTCTCCTCTTGTTGCCACGCACTCAAGCCACTGCCGGAAGAATGGAACGTCGCCGGTGCCTGGCTGGAGCCTCGACCCTGGGATTTGATCCCTGAAATCTTGGAGAGTATCTGGCGAGGTTTGAGTAAGAGCAGGAGAACCAGCAGCAGCAGCAGCAGCAGCAGCAGCAGCAGCAGCAGCAGGAGGAGAGGATGCAGGTGGGAAGGAGAATTCTGCCACGTTGGCGAGATCTTTCCACGCAGGCCATCCGCTGCGCACAGCTGTCATCACGATGCTGTACACCTCGCTGACGTGGCACTGCTCCCCGAGCTCGCGCTTGATCCGCGCCGGGTCGCAAGCGGACAAAAAGTGCCGCACGCCCGCCCGCTCAGCCAGGCGGTAGTGCCACGTGGCGGAATCCTGCTGGCTGACCACCGACGCCTGGATTCCAAAGGGCACTGAGGAAGATGAGGCGGAGGAGGCGGATGAGGAGGATGAGGTGGAGGAGGAAGAGTAGGTGATGTTGGAGGGGAGGAAAGGGTACGTGGCAGTGGTGGTCTGTGGGGCGGGGTAGGGGAGAATCTCGATGACAGTTGCGTTGAAAGGCAAAAACATGAGGTTGGAGAGAGCAGACGAGGTGGGGCCCACAAAGAGCAGCGCACGGGAGAAGAGCGCACGGGCCTCTGGCAGGGGCACGTGCTCGTCATACACCACCACGCGGGACTTGGAAAAGATGTGCCGCAAGAACTTGATTATGGAGTGCATGCCTTCTGCTGTTGCCTGTGCTGCTCCCTCCTTTCCTCTTCCTCCTCCTCCTCCCACCCCCTCTCCTCCTTCCCCTCCTCCCTCTCCCTCTCCTCCCCCCACCCCTCCCCCCTCTCTCATGACGTGGGAGCTCCACACTAGAGACACCACCACCACCCAGTCTTCTGGGACCGACCGCCCTCCTAGGACTAAGTTGTGATTGTGTGGGGCGGGCGGCCTGGGGGACCAATCAGGGTTGAGGATGGGCAGGCCGCCACGTGGCAGCAGGTGGTTGGCTCGGAGGGCGAGCCAGAGCGCGTCCGGGCGGGACGGGGGGCCCGCAGCAGAGAGACCGCAGAGGCTGCTGACGTGGATGGGCTGGCGGGGGGGAGGGAGGAAGGGGTGGGAGGAGGGATGGGGGGTGGGCGTGGGGTTGGGGGAAGGGGGGGGGAGGGGGGAGGGCAGAGACGTTTGGGTTGAGGCACAGGTCAGGTGATTGCAAGGTGACCGGCAGGACAGAGAAAGTGCCCCCACTGCTGCTGGGGATGGGGTGGTGCGGATGGGGTGGTGCGGATGGGGTGGTGCGGATGGGGTGGTGCGGATGGGGTGGTGCGGATGGGGTGGTGCGGATGGGGTGGTGCGGATGGGGTGGTGCGGATGGGGTGGTGCGGATGGGGTGGTGCGGATGGGGTGGTGCGGATGGGGTGGTGGCGATGGGGTGGTGCGGATGGGGTGGTGCGGATGGGGTGCTGCGGATGGGGTGCTGCGGATGGGGTGCTGCGGATGGGGGACGGGGGTGTGGATAGGGGGGGGGGGGGGGGGGAAGCAAGAGGTGGAAGAGGAGGTGGCGGTAGGCGAGCAGCAGAGGAATTGATACTGGGGGTTGGGGGGGGAGGGAGGGGGGATGGTGAGGAGAACCATGCAGGGAGGAAAGCACGCTTACCACATACAGCTGTTTGGCGAAGAAGAGGTGCTCGTGGCTGTTCCCCAGCAGCGGGGAGAAGGGCGAGATGGCGAGGGACGAGAGGTCCGTGCCGAAGACGCCCAGGCCCAGGTGGAAGAGCAGGTGGCGGTCGGCGAGCAGGAGAGGGTAGCGGCGGGCGGCGGGCATGAGGGAGGAGGAGAGCAGGAAGAGCGCGGGCAGCAGCCGCGCTAGCAGCCGCTCCTTGGAGTTGTGCACCCGCGCCTGAGCCACCCACTCCCGCCCCTCCGGCCCCTCCCCATGGGCCTTCGACCCGGAACTGCCGTCGTCCTCCTCTTCGTGGGCTTCGTACGGCAGGAGATTTATCAGGTGGGAATGAACAGTGACCCTGGTGCCAGGTGGGTAAGAGGGTACCTTCACCTGCTGCTGCTGGTTCTGATTCTGCTGCTTCCACCGGCCGTTTCCGCACCTATCAACGACGAACACGTGGCTTTTGTTGAACACCATGCCCAGCTCGTTGACGTACACGTCACGCAGCACGAGAATTCCACCTCCGCTCCCGTCCACGTCAGCAGCAGCCATAGCTTCGTCCGCGCGCCGCGGGGAAGCCTGTGCGGGGCGGAACGCGCTCAGGTCGCACGTCTCCTCCGCGATCCCCGCGTAGAACCACGAGCGCTGCCGCATGCACTCGCGCTCTACCGCCTCTCCCCCCTCCTGCTTCCACCGCAACCAATCTCCCATGAATTGCGCCGCTTTTCCCGGACCACTGAGGAAAGCCGAGCCTGATCCCGAGCCTGCGCGTTCCAGACCAGCAGCCGTAGCTTCGTACGAGGGCGCGAGCGGGTCCCCCCATTGGCAAGCGGAAACGACGGCGGAGGTCGCGCCTGCTAGAGGCGGCGCGAATTCCGGGCAGAGAGGCAGACGCGGCTTGGATTTTGATTGGCCCGCTGGAGCCGCAGGGCCTACTCTCTTGGAGAAATAGTCAATCAGCCCGATTTGAGTCAGGGACTTTCCGAGAATACCCTCCTTGAGCGTGCCTCCTGCCTGCGTCTGCTCCCGAACGCCCGCAATGCCCGCCGCATCAGCCGCCGCGTCATCCGCTGCTTCCCGACGGCCTTGAGTGAGTGATACGCTCGCTGTAGGCGGCTTGGTTGCTATTGCTGCGGCGGGTCTAACGCCGCCGTCAATCACGGCCTGCTGCTGGGGTTCCGCCGCCATGACCAGCCGCTCCAATTGGATCTTGCCACGTCGGCTGGCAGCGTCAGCTTGAAGTTGTCGACGTGGCAGGGCCAGGTTGTGCGTTTGGAGGGTCTGTGGTTGCGCGTTGCGAGGCGAATCGGCATTGTCATTGCGGTCGTTGCGATTATCATGCGTGCTGCAGACTACTGGCAGTAGCGAGGGAGCTAGTAACGAGACAAGGATGAGGGAAGTGAGGAGGTTGCGCGAAAAATCGGAGCTCCGCAAACGCGGCAGGTCGGATCTTCGGTAGCTCATTCTTAGGGTCTTTGTGCTTGCCCAGTGGGCGCGTCCCGCGACCGACGAGATGGCTGGAAAGGGCTCGTGCTATCTGCGCAACCCAGGCGACGCCAGAAGCAGAAGGCTCTAGTTGAGGTGCCTTGAAACGACTAAAAAACTTTTCTTGAAGACGTCAGATGGTCTAGCGAAGTTCAAGGTAAGCGGGAAGCGTTGCGGAGGAGTGTTGATGAGAAGCGCATAAAGTCGGAAGCTGCAGATCGAGGGTGTAGACCGAGAACGGCTGTGGGCACGAGAGGAGCGCTGAGGAGGGTGTTGTCACCAGAGCTTACTACGGGAGATAAGAGGGAGGAATCGAAGCGTAGAGGGCCGAAGGAACCTGGTAGAATCTCGCGATTGCACGTTCAACACCAAGGGCCTGTATGGTCTGCCCTTACGTAGCGAATGCTGGTTCGAGCGGGAAGCCGCGCTGCACGCGAGCACGGACGAACCTCACGTCGCCTCTACTCGCCTCGCACAGCCTAGATACCGCCTAGAACTTCCAGAAACACGTGAGGCAGTAAGGAGAGACACCAATGGCTTCTGGAAGTCAGGAATCAGGATGGTGCTGTATTGTGCAGGAGTCGGGTCGGGAGGGAGTCAGGTCAGGAGTGGAGAGTGGGGAGTGGGGAGACTCGGAACGGCGATTACTGGTGCGACGAGCGAGAGGCGAGGAGAGAAGGTTGGACGGAGAGTCAAGACGCGAGACAACACTGGGAATTGGCTGGCCTGGCGGGGCAACCAACAAGCAATTCTCGAGGCGGCTCGAGGGGTGGGGGAGTTTTCGACAAGGATGTTTGCTGGCGACGTGGATGCGATCAGGTAACCCTAAGGCCTATGTTACACTGGTGGAGCGCGAGGCGCATTTTGTGTGTGTGCTTGCACAGTGGGGCGAACGAAGTGTTCCAGGCTGGCGAAGGCCTACGATGGTACAGTTGTAGCGTAACATGAGGGGCTAGGATTTGCTGGCCACGCGCTTTCAGGTTGCGTGCTTCACTGGCAAATGGCTGCCACACTCCTCAAGTCAACCTCCATCAGGTGAAACCAAGGTTGGTTTGCGATGATGACGAAAGAAATGTACTATAATATCTAACGGAAGAATATATCAGGATTGAAGTGTAGAGAGGCAAGAGAGTGAGAGTTTCTCGTGTTCCGGAGTTGCTTATCGCGAATTAAAACTTAGCACGCCAGGTCACCGTTGTTCCCGCCACAATTACCTTCCCAAACAGCGTGGCAAACTTAGCTCGCTGTAACATCTCCACGTGTCATCTCAGTTCTTCCATCAGCCATCCCAGGCCTTGAATCTGGTCAACCACCCATAACTCGCCACGCGGAGAATCCAGCATATTCGCCAGAGTCACCTCCGCTGTTTGCAATGAGCGGTTCCAGAGTATGTCGAGCTTTCAGCCCTAACACCAAATTCAGCAGCAAGTTCTTAGTCTTATGGCCTCGGAGTTGACATTGAATCTGGCCCTCTGACACCAATCTCTGCAGCCACGCCTTATCCGCCTCGTTCTCCCCAACTTTCTCGCCTCCCTGCTCGCTCTCTCTGAATCTGCTTTCTCCCCCTTCAGTTCAGACCCTGCTGAACTGAGCTTCAAATTTCACTGCCTTCAGGTCAGTTGGATATTTTCCTTCCGCAGAAATTCCAGCATTCAGCAGCTTTTTGCGTTAAGGTGGTCGTCCGCCGCAGCGGCCGTTTCGTCCTGAACTGCATCGTCGATCCCAATGGCTGTGTCCAGGATGGCTCTCTCCCTGGCGAGCTGCTCGCGTGTCGCCGCGTGGGCCGCCCAGTCCGCGCTCAGGGCGCCGGCCCCCGCGCTGGGGTCCCTGCAGATAGCGGCCATTGCGCCGCTAAAGGCGGCGGGATTCAGCGGCCATCAGATGGTGCAGCGACCCACGTGGTCCCTCACGAGGTACTACTGCTTTGATTATCCCTCACGAGGCATTGATGGTTGTTCACGACGAATTGATGGTCGCTCACGAGGTATTGATGGTTCCGTCACGAGGTAATCGCACTGCCTTAATGCTACCTTGATTATCACTCACGAGGTTCTGCTTCGATTATTTCTCACGTGCCTTTATACTTAAGTCGTCTTGCGAAATACACGCACAATCAGATGATCGTCAAAATTCATCACGGCATTCAGACGATCGCGAACCACGTGATGCGAACCACGTGATGCGAACCACGTGATGCGAACCACGTGATGCGAACCACGTGATGCGAACCACGTGATGCGAACCACGTGATGCGATGCCCCTTGCTCTCGAAGGTCGACCATCGTCACCACGCATCGCGCGCCGAGCTTAGTATCTTTTTTCATCGCATGATGCCACCCCCTCCCCCCCTTCCCCCCCAACCTCTTCTCCTCTTCTCTTTCCCCCCCCCGCCCCGCCCTCCCCTCTCGTTTCCGCAGGTCGTTCCACCGCAGCCACGTGGTGTGCGCGGAGCTCGCCCGCTCCCTGAGCCGCTCGCCGTCCGGCAACTTCGAGACGCTCGAGTACCGCCTCTTCTTCCAGAACGACCAGGGCGAAACCGTGAGTCGCACTAGCACGCGTACTGGCAGAGGCAATGCAGAAACGCCCTACTTATCATGCTTGACTTTTTCGAGTGGCTTAAAGGACGCTCGAATATCGCCTCTGGTACCAGAACGACCAGGGCGAGACCGTGAGTCGCTGTAGCACTGGTGAAGGCACTGGCGAAGGCACTGGCGAAGGCACTGGCGAAGGCACTGGCGAAGGCACTGGCGAGAACCCCCCGTGCTTATCGTGCTGACCGTTGAGGTGACTTCGACGTACGCTCGCTCGAGCCTTCGTAAAAGGACGAGGGCGAGTCTGTGCATGTCGTGCTGCTGATGTGGGCGGTAGTGGGATGACATCAGCGGCGGTAGTGCGATCCATCGCGACGCCTCCAGCCTAGCATGTCATCTGGCACATAAAGTCCCTCGCTGGGAACCCTGTTCACTTGTTCGCCACCGATGCTGCTGCAGCCACGGAGAATTCGCATTGTTTTCTCCTGCAAATGAGAATTCTCATTGTTTTCTCCAGCCAATGAGAATTCTCCTTGTGCGTCCCCTTGAGAATTCAGCCCGTCGCCCGCGCGCAGCCTTGTTTCTCCTGCCACCACGTCCCCCTGCGCGCGGGCGACAGGCTCGTCAACTTCATCTGCGACATCGCCAAGGACACTCGATTGTGGAGGTCCAGGAAATCAGTCGCCGGCGAATCAGTCGCTCTCCCTCTCTTCCTCCCTCCCTCCCCCCACCCCTGCAGCTGTCCCCGTAGAGGCGCCTCAAAAATAGTCTCCCTCTTCCTCCCTCCCTCCCTCCCCCCACCATTGCAGCTGTCCCCGTGGCACGACATCCCCCTGCGTGCGGGCGACGGGCTCTTCAACTTCATCTGCGAGATCCCCAAGGACACGAGCGCCAAGATGGAGGTGGCCACGGACGAGCCCGGCACGCCCATCAAGCAGGACGTCAAGAAGGGCAAGATCCGATACTACCCGTGAGTAAAGAGGGAGACGCTGGTATGTAGCCTTTGTTCTGGAGATGGTCACAGAGGAGCCGTGCACGCACGTCAAGCACGACACCAAACAGGGCAAGATTTGATACTACCATTAGGCCTCAATGCCATTCTAACTTTTACCCTCGCAGGACAACATCCACAGGCACTAGGTGTCGTTACTTGGCAAGCTGCTTTTTAATGTGAGCCCTGCCTTCTTCTCCCTCCCCTGTCTTTTCCCCCCTCCCCTGTCTCCCCCCCCGCAGGTACAACATCCACTGGAACTACGGCATGCTGCCGCAGACGTGGGAGGACCCCTCGCACGCCAACCCCGAGGTGGACAACACCATGGGCGACAACGACCCCGGTCAGTGCGGGGCTGTGCAGGGCTGTGCAGGGCTGTGCAGGGCTGTGCAGGGCTGTGCAGGGCTGTGCAGGGCTGTGCAGGGCTGTGCAGGGCTGTGCAGGGCTGTGCAGGGCTGTGCAGGGCTGTGCAGGGCTGTGCAGGGCTGTGCAGGGCTGTGCAGGGCTGTGCAGGGCTGTGCAGGGCTGTGCAGGGCTGTGCAGGGCTGTGCAGGGCTGTGCAGGGCTGTGCAGGGCTGTGCAGGGCTGTGCAGGGCTGTGCAGGGCTGTGCAGGGCTGTGCAGGGCTGTGCAGGGCTGTGCAGGGCTGTGCAGGGCTGTGCAGGGCTGTGCAGGGCTGTGCAGGGCTGTGCAGGGCTGTGCAGGGCTGTGCAGGGCTGTGCAGGGCTGTGCAGGGCTGTGCAGGGCTGTGCAGGGCTGTGCAGGGCTGTGCAGGGCTGTGCAGGGCTGTGCAGGGCTGTGCAGGGCTGTGCAGGGCTGTGCAGGGCTGTGCAGGGCTGTGCAGGGCTGTGCAGGGCTGTGCAGGGCTGTGCAGGGCTGTGCAGGGCTGTGCAGGGCTGTGCAGGGCTGTGCAGGGCTGTGCAGGGCTGTGCAGGGCTGTGCAGGGCTGTGCAGGGCTGTGCAGGGCTGTGCAGGGCTGTGCAGGGCTGTGCAGGGCTGTGCAGGGCTGTGCAGGGCTGTGCAGGGCTGTGCAGGGCTGTGCAGGGCTGTGCAGGGCTGTGCAGGGCTGTGCAGGGCTGTGCAGGGCTGTGCAGGGCTGTGCAGGGCTGTGCAGGGCTGTGCAGGGCTGTGCAGGGCTGTGCAGGGCTGTGCAGGGCTGTGCAGGGCTGTGCAGGGCTGTGCAGGGCTGTGCAGGGCTGTGCAGGGCTGTGCAGGGCTGTGCAGGGCTGTGCAGGGCTGTGCAGGGCTGTGCAGGGCTGTGCAGGGCTGTGCAGGGCTGTGCAGGGCTGTGCAGGGCTGTGCAGGGCTGTGCAGGGCTGTGCAAAATTATCCCTGCTTTGCTTTTTTGTGTGTGTTTTCACACTTTGAGGGGGACAACACCATGGTCAAAAATTCGTGAGTACTGAAGGGCAGGATAAGAAGATGCTGCTTTGACAATCTCCAGAGCATGGAGAGAGAGAGAGGGGGGGTGGGAAGTATATTTTTGAGGCGCCTCAAAAATAGACTCCTCACGCAAAGAGTATGGAGAGAGAGAGAGAGAGAGGCGGGTGAAAGTCAGAACACCATTCTTCTCACCATGCCAAAGCCACGGCTGTAAACAACACCACGGGTGATGGACTCGAGTGATGCTGCTGCTGAGTGATAGCCTGTCAGCAGCGTCATGCGCGGGCAGACGGGGCGAAAGAGGGATGGCAGGTAGGGGGAGCGGAAGAGCAGGCAGCAGCGGTGGGAGAGTTGCTCACTGAAGGTTGGTGTGGTCTGCTCTGTTCGTTCACTGGTAACAGTACCAGAGGCGAGCCCGTACACAGCACTGTGCAAGGCACAGTGAAGCTACTGATATCCCAGTGAGTCTGTGCTTTGCCGTTCACCACCCTTCCTCCGTTCTCCTTCTCCCGTGCCCTTCGATCTGCCTGCCTAACAGTCGACGTGGTGGAGAACGGTGAGAAGCAGGCGGTGCTGGGGGAGGTGTACCTGGTGAAGCCGCTGGCAGTGCTAGCGACAATCGGCGATGAGTGATGATGGCAAGCTCGGCTGGAAGGGGCCTTACCCCCCTTCGCCCCCCTCTCGCGCTTTCTCCCCTCCCCCTGATGCAGTCGATGTGGTGGAGATCGGTGAGAAGCAGGCAGACCTGGGGGAGGTGTACGCAGTGAAGCCGCTGGCCGTGCTGGCGATGATCGACGATGGCGAGCTGGACTGGAAGGTCATCTGCATCCGCGCCGATGATCCCAAGGCGGACCTCGTCAACGATGTGGACGACGTCGAGAAAGAGTTCCCGGTGAGTGTTCCCTTGTGAGAGCACAGAGCGGATTGTTGGCCATCTCGTTTGGACTCCAAGGTCATCTGCATCCGCGCGGACGATCCTAAGGCGGATCTGGTCTGGTCAATGACGTGGAGGATGTCGAGAAAGTGGTCCCTGCGAGTATTCCCTTCCTCGTGAGAGTACATACAAAGCCCCTTTTGTATGGACCGGAAGGTCGTCTGCATCCGTGCGGATGGTCCCAAGGCGAAGCTCGTCAATGATGTGGTGTGGAGAAGGTGTTTCTGGTGAGTAATCCTGTTCTTGGTGCCTCGTACAGCTGTTCCCTTGTGTCACTCTACAGATTGTAGACCGTCTTGTTTGGATTGTATCCTAGGGCACATTGCCGGCGGTGCATGACTGGTTCAGGGATTACAAGCTGCCGGACGTGCTAGTTCTACACCACCCCGCACCCCCCCCCTCTCCTCCCCATCCCCCCTCTCCCCCTCTCCCTATCCCAACCCTCTCTCTTTCTCTCCCTATTACTACTGCTGGTATCCCAGGGCACGTTGACGGCGGTGCGTGACTGGTTCCGGGACTACAAGCTGCCGGACGGCAAGCCGCCCAACAAGTTTGGGCTGGGGGACAAGGCGGCAGACAAGGCCACGGCGCTGCGTGTGATTGAGGAGACCAACGAGTTCTGGTCAAAGCTCGTCAAGCGCGTCACCCCCAGACGCGGACTTTCGCTGCACTGAATCACTGATGTAACTGGAGTGTATTTTGAGTGGTTTTGGCAAGGATGCTGTGTTTCGTGCTCGTCCATGTGCCATCCTCTGAATGTGTATATGGATGCTGGTGTGAGGGATGTGCTTCAGAGTTCTTTAAGTGCCAAGGGAATTCACTAGAAGACAAGGCGGCAGACCAATGAGCTCTGGCTGAAACTTGTGAAGCGTGTGCCTCGCGAAGCATTATACTGCTGATGAGGGTTTGTTTGGCGCACATTAATCTGACAATTGATTCACTTGGGTAGAGAGCTTTGGCACATCAACACCCATGGGTACACTTTCCAGACAGTTTCACCCTGCTCAATATAAGATGCCATCCACTTAGTACAGTGCAGCTGTAAACATGGTAGGGGAACTCCCAACAGGACAAATCAGTGAATCAACCCAACCCAACCCAACCCAACACAGCGCACTGCAGTGCAGCCACCTTCTCATCGGAGCTGCGGCCTTGCAGGTGTAATATGTGTTCAAATTATATAAGTTATAATTTAATATAGGCTTGGTAGGTTGTTACTGAACCTTTCTGTAGGGGGTACAAACCCCTCCTTGTACTCCCCTCTCTTCTAATCCAACCCCTTTTCTCTTCTCAACTTTCCTAGCACCTAAAACCTCTCGCCATTCTCATGGCTCCTCCTAGCTCCTAGCTAAACCTTGTGCCATTCTATGGCTTCCTAGCTAAGCTAGTTTCTGACATGGTATTAGAGCAGTTCGTTCCGCGTGGGCCTGCTCCTCGCGTTTCCGCTGCGTGCTCGTTTCTCTCTCTATCTCGCGCTGCCATGGCGGCCGCGTCAAGCTGCTGTGGCCGCGTCGTCGTGCCGCGGCGCCGCCGTCGACGTCCATGGCGCCCGCGTCCAGCTGCTGTGGCCGCGCCGTCGTGCCGCAGCTCCGCCGTCGCGTCAAGATGCTGTCGCGACGTGACGGCGCCGTCACGCTGCCGCGGCGTCTACGCGACAGCGCGCGGTCGGCGTAACGGCGACGTCGTGCTGCCGTCGCAACGTCGACGCCCCGCTGCGGCATCGACGCCGCTCCATGACGGCGTCGTCGGGCTGCAGCCGGCCGCGTGACGCTTGTGGCGCCGCTAGACCGGCCGCCCGCATGTCAGCCTGTGGCGCCCCCCCCCCCCCCCACCCCCCTCCTTCCCTTGTGCCCTCTTCCATTCCGCAGACGACGGCTGACTCCCGCCGGCCGTCCCACCGTCGCGGGGCCTGGCCACGTCACCGAGAGGTGCGGGTGCCGCCGCCGCTGCCGCTGTTGTCGAAGCCGCCGCCGCCGCCGCTGTCGCCGCTTGCGTCGGGGCCACGCAGCCGCACGCCGCCGCCGCCGCCGCTGTCGACACTGCCGCCGCTGCCGCCGTCGCCGCCGCAGCCCCTGCGGTCGACGTCGCCGCCTCACGCGCCGTGGGGTCGACCGACCTAGAGTCGCTGTCACTGTGGCTGGAATGGGGGTGCTAGGTTAGGGGGTGTGGGTGTGTGTGGGCATGTGACTACCAAGCCTAGGGGGTGTGTTCAAATTATATAAGTTATAATTTAATATAGGCTTGGTAGGTTGTTACTGAACCTTTCTGTAGGGGGTACAAACCCCTCCTTGTACTCCCCTCTCTTCTAATCCAACCCCTTTTCTCTTCTCAACTTTCCTAGCACCTAAAACCTCTCGCCATTCTCATGGCTCCTCCTAGCTCCTAGCTAAACCTTGTGCCATTCTATGGCTTCCTAGCTAAGCTAGTTTCTGACAATATGTACCTCCCATTGTGCTCTTATGCCTGGATATGCTACCCGTATAGATATACGGCACCACTTGACTTGTCAGGGGAGCATTCGTGCTCTGGGCACTATCACCTTGCCAGCAAAACTGCCCGGGTGTACGGTGCATACACTGCACAATAAACAAACTAACCCTGGAAATTTTGACCAAGGACCACCACAAACCAAGGGTTTGCTCACTTCCAATCCCCTCTTGATAATGTCAGCTGCCTTGCCATTGCCCCCATGTACCTAAAAGCACTCAGTATGGATACGGTACTTCACGAACCCCCCCCTCCCCCCCCCCCTTCCACCCCCTTCATTTCCCTTCCACTCGCCCCTGTTGTGCTCTCTTACACTAGCTGTCTTGGCAATGCCCCCCATGCATTTGAAAGTGCACAGCATGGATGCTTCAGCTTGATGCTGAATTTGAGTCGACTGAAAAACCCCCCCATGCATCAGCAAGCGCACAGTATGGATGGATGCTTCAGCTCAACGCTGAAACTCGGCTGCCTTCCGTTTCCCTTCTGCTTGTCCCTGTTGCGGTCTCTTGGCTCTCTTGCCAGCGCCACAGCAATGTCGAGCGCCACAGCAATGTTGAACGCCACCTCAGCACTCACTTCCCTCCCTCCCCTCCTTGCTGGGAGCTCAGCTCCCTGGCCAGTGCCAGCAGGCCAACCACAGCAAAGGCGGAGATCATGCACGACCCGTACCCCAGGGCGAGAAGGGCGCCCCGCAGGGACTGGTTGTAAGAGTTGGGGGAGAGGGGAAGAGGGGGGGCGGGATATAGCTGACGGCTCTGAAGGAGATTGTTGAGTGGCAGAGTGCAGGCACGACCCGTACCCCAGGGCGAGGACGCTGCCCCGCAGGTACTGGAGGGACGGTGGGGAGAAGGTGGGAGAGCGGGGTAGCGTCGTTAGGGGCGGTAGAGGGGGGAGGGGGGGGAGGGGAAGAGCAAAAGGCTCTGTGGTGACTGCTGGATGGCAGAGAGGAGGCACGACCCGTAATCAGTCTCTTCGGGCGAGAAGGGAGCCGCGAAGAGACTGACTGGAAGGGAGGGGAGGAAAGTGGGGGAGGGAGGGAGGGGAGGAAAGGGGGGGAGGAAGGGGGGGGGGGAGGGGGGGAAGGAAGAGGGGGAGGAAGGGGGGGGAGGAAGGGGGGGAGGAAGGGTGGGGAGGAAGGGGGGGAGGAAGGGGGGAAGGAAGGGGGGGAGGAAGGGGGGAAGGAAGGGGGGGGAGGAGGAAGGGGGGGAGGAAGGGGGGGGAGAAAGGGGGGGGAGGGAGGAATGGCGAAAGGTTGTGAAGGAGACAGGTGTGTCCTTGAGAATTCTCAAGAAAGCACTGCAAAGGTTCTGAGGGAGTCCGTCCCGTGGGTGAGAGGAGTCTGTCCAGTGGGTGAGAGGAGGCACAAGGCGTAACCCATGGAGAGAAGGGAGCCACACAGGGACAGGTGGTGGGCGGAGGAAGAGGTAGGGTGGAAGGAATCACGAGGGAAGGTGCGCGCTGAGTGGCAAGGACTCATGACTTGCCAGCGCGATCCAGACACACGTGCAAGAGAGTACGTGCGAGACGCATGATGAGTGAGTGAGTGAATGAGTGAGTGAGTGAGTGAGTGAGTGAATGAGTGAGTGAGGGAGTGAGTGAGTGAATGAGTGAGTGCGTTGCTTCTGGCATGTAGTGGAAAAGAGAGTCCTGGCGGATAGGCGGCAGCCGTGCCTGCCATGTCACGCGACACCACGCTGCACAGAAGGTTTGGGCCACTAACTTGGTTCCAGTGGGGTTCACTCACCAGCGCCAGTGTGAGCGCATTGTCATTGGCATATGCTAGAGAATCCTCGCTGACTGCCTGCAGCCCTGCTGCCAGCTGCCAGCTCACCACGCTGAGCAAATGGGTGCGGAGGCGGAGCGGGGGAGAGGCGGAGCGGAGGAGAGGCGGAATGGGGGAGAGGTGGAATGGGGGAGAGGCGGAATGGGGAAGAGGAGGGGGACATTTAGATATTCATGGCGCATTGGGGTAAAGGCGGGGGGGTCAGGGGAGTTGGGGGGTGGGGGGTATTCGCAAACGAATACGGTGGTGGAAGGAATAGAGATGTAAGGGTGATGGAGCGTGACGGGTGATGGGGCGTGACGGGTGATGGCGCGTGACAGGTGATGGCGCGTGACGGGTGATGGGGCGTGACGGGTGATGGCGCGTGATGGGTGATGGCGCGTGGCGGGTGAGACAGCAAACTCACGCAAACGCTGCTGCAACTCCCGCTCCTGTGAGTGCCTTGGATGGAGTGACGTCCACAGTCAAGGGGCCGAGCTGACACGCGGAAGAGGGGAGGGAGAGGGGAGGGAGAGGGAGGGAGAGGGAGGGAAGGGGGGGAAGGAGGGGAAGGGGGGGAAGGGGGGAAGGAGGGGAAGGGGGGGAAGGAGGGGAAGGGGGGGAAGGGGGGAAGGAGGGGAAGGGGGGAAGGAGGGGAAGGGGGGAAGGAGGGGAAGGGGGGAAGGGGGGAAAGGAGGGGAAGGGGGGGAAGGGGGGAAGGAGGGGAAGGGGGGAAGGAGGGGAAGGGGGGAAGGAGGGGAAGGGGGGAAGGGGGGGAAGGGGGGAAGGGGGGGAAGGGGGGTAGCCAGCATTACGAAGATGGGCGGGACGGGAAGACGGGGCGGGAGATGGGCGTAGCTGTCGACAATTTTTGAGGTGCCTCAAAAATAGACATCAAACGTAGTGTCATTCAGTGTGAGGGGGCGTGGCTGTTGACAGGCGAAAGCAGAGGGCGCCAGGGCCATACAGAACGTAGGGAGCATCAGGAGTGTGATGTGGAGTGTTACCAGCAGTGTTACCAGCAGTGTAACCAGCAGTGTAACCAGCAGTGTAACTAACCAGCAGAGTAACCAGCAGTGTAACCGGCAGTGTAACCAGCAGTGTAACCAGCAGTGAAACCAGCAGTATTACTAGCAGTGTAACCAGCAGTGTAACCAGCAGTGTAACCAGCAGTGTAACCAGCAGTGTTACCAGCAGTGTAACCTGGAATGTTACCAGAAGTGTTGTGTCGAGTGTTACTTGCTTTCAAGCGGGCTCAACACTTGAAAGTAGGGTCGAAAGCAGGCAAGCGTTGAGCCGACTGGAAGGCAGGGTCGTTACCTGCAGTCGTCTAACAGGGTCAAAATTGGAGGCGCCGTCGTCAGCGCATCCCACTGATACCGCCTGCGCTGCTGCTGCCATGGCCCTGCCCAGCTGAGAATTCGAGGGATGGGGAGTAGGGGTGGTAAGATGCTGGGCAGGGCCATGGCAGCAGCATCCCACCCTACCCATGGGGGTCGGATAGGGTTCCATGGGTAGGGGTGGTAAGATGCTGTTGTAACCGGGAGAGGGGATTTTGAGCACCCTGCTGCTGCTGCTGCTGCTGCCATGGCCTTGCCTGGCTGGCTTGTGAAGGGAAGGCCGAATAGAACAGGAGAGGGCGCCCAGAAGAGGGTAGCGCTCTCTGAAAATGTTCCTCTGCTGACGGAAGAAAAAAAGACGAGAGGAAAAGCAGGGAAAGGAAGAGGGTAGCGCTCTCTTTTCCCACGCCGATTGAAGTCAGCATATGCTGACACGTGGACACCCCTCTCCTCAACGCTCTGCAGCCTTCCCCTGCGAACCTTGCTTGCTGCTCTGTTGAGCCGAACAGACCTCACTCAACGCTCACCTCTCTCCTCTGCTCTGCAGCCTTCCCCTGCGCGTATGCCCCCATGCCTGTGAGCCGTCTCCCTGCTGCTCTGTTAGTCCGACTCAAAGGTTACCTCTCGCCTCACCTGTGCAGCCTTCCCCTGCGCGTATCCCCCCATGCCTGTGAACCTCCTGCCTGCCGCTCTTAGCCTCCTGCCCAGCACTGGGAGGGGGGAGGGAGAGGCGCAGGAGGAGAGGGAAGAGGGAAGAGCGAAGGTCCGGTTGAGGAGAGACGGAGAGCGACCTTCCCCCTGTGCGCATGCCACCATGCCTGTGAGCCTCCTGCCAGCTGCTCTAAATCTCCTGCCCAGCACCGGGAGGAGGAGCAGAGAGAGGGTGAGACGACAGAGAGAGATGCAGCAAGAGAGAGTGAGTGGGTAAGAGAGAGTGAGTGGGTAAGAGTGAGTGAGTGGGTAAGAGAGTGTTTGGGTGGGAAGAGCCATGGTGAGAAACAAGGTAATTCCCCATCCCGTTATAAGGCGCCTCACAACTAGAGAATTGTCATTGAGTGGGAAGAGCCACAGTGAGAAAGAGATAGTCCCCCATCCCTCCCAGACGTGCATTCCACTCGCACCCCTTTCTTTCTTCCCCTCCTTTCCGCCCCCTCCCATTCCCCCTGCCCTCCCCCCTTCCCTTACCTCCGTCCCTCCCCAATCCTCTTCCCCCCCCCCGTTTCACCATCCCTTACCTGCTCTTTCTCTCCCTGCAGGAGGAAGCTTCGCAGCAGCATCCGCCAGCCTGGCCACAGCAGCAGCAGCGGCGGCAGCAGGGGAGCCGTCTGCAGCCGTGAGGGCGGCGGCAAGGGCGGAGAGGGACGCTGACACTGCTGGGCCGCACTGGGGGGACGCGAGGGGGGAGGGGGGGAGGGGGGGAGGGGGGTAGAGAGGGGCAAGACAGGCAGCACTAGGGGGAGTTTTGAGGCACCTGAAAGCGGCAGCAGGGGAGCCCGTGGGGGAGGCGCGAAGGGAAGGGAAGGAGGAGGGGGCGACAAGGAGGGCGGAGAGAGACGCTGACACTGCTGGGACGCACTGGGAGGAAGGGCGGGAAGGGCGGGTGGGGGAGGCGCGAAGGGGGGGGGGGAGGGGGTGACAGGGAGGGCGGAGAGGGATGCTGACACTGCTGGCCCGTGCTGGGGGGACGAGCGGTGGGGAGGGGGAGGGGTTACAGGCAGCACAAGGAAAAGCAGGAGGGAGCAAGGGAGGGGGGGAAGGGGAGAAGAGGGGGGGGAGGGGGAGAAGAGGGGGGGGAGGGGGAGAAGAGGGGGGGAGGGGGTGAAGAGGGGGGAAGAGGGGGGAAGGCGTGAAGAGGGGGGGTGGGTGACAGGGAGGGGGAAGGGGGGAGATGGCGAGGGGAAAAGGAGGGGCGGGGGGACGGGGGAAAGGCGAGTGGGGGAGGGGGTGGGGGAAGAAGATTACTAGGGATATGAAAGCAGCGGGTTCCTCATGTGAAGGTGTGAGTGAGCCCCCTCCCGTGTGAGTGAGCCCCCTCCCGTGTGAGTGAGCCCCCTCCCGTGTGAGTGAGCCCCCTCCCGTGTGAGTGAGCCCCCTCCCGTGTGAGTGAGCCCCCTCCCTCTCACTTGCTTCTCCAGCATTTCCCAACATATAACGCCATGCAGGCCACTCGCTTATCTCCACTCGCTTATTTCCCCCAGCCCCCCGTCAGCCCTCAGCCCCCTTTTCCCCCCAGCGCCCTGTTAATCCCCAGCCCCCCTTTCCCCCCAGCTATCATTTCCCCCCGGCTCCCCTTTCCCCCCGGCCCCCCTAGTCCCCCCTGCCACATACCTCTGCCGCAACATTCCCATTGGTGAGGTCAAACACTGCGTCCTTGAGCTGACGAGGGCGCAGCAGGGGGAACGGGAGGGGAGGGGGAGAGGAAGAGGTAAGAGTGACGGCGTTGACTGGGCCTTTGAGCTCACGAGGGCGCAGCAGGGGGAGGTTGAGTCCGAAAGAGAGAGGAACGAGAGAGGAAGGAGAGAAGGGGAGTGAGTGTAGAGACGCGCTGTCGAGGCAAGATTCTCATCGATGAGGCCAGGGAGGAATGGCCTGGCCAGTGAGGCCACAGAGGCATCCTTGACCCGACCAGGGAGGACCAGGGGGAGGCGGAGGCGGAAAAGTAGGGGAGTGGGGGAGGGAGGAGCGGGGAAGAGGGAAATGCTAGCAGAGAGACATGGTGGGGAGGCGGTGATAGGAATGTGCAAACCATGGCACACGGCATACGGCACAATTTCTAGGGCACCTGAAAATATATATTGCGAGGGGAGTGAGAGATTTTTTAGGATTCTCGAGAATAACTGACGGGAACCAGCCAATCCTCCTTCGCTCTCTCCTTCCTCCCTTCCCCCTTACACGCCCGCAACAAACAACGCACCACCCCTCATCCCCCCCCCCCACGCTATTCCCCTCCCATTCCCTCTCCCTCTTCACTCGGCCCGCACCCCTGTCTCCTCCCCTCCCTCCCCCATCCCTCCTCTCGCTATACTCACATCCACTTGGAGATTCCGAGGCAGAGCGGAGAAGAAGTCCGGGTCTAGGGAGGAGAAGGACGACTGGGGGTGGGGGAGAGGGGGGGGGGGGGGAATGAGGCAGGGTTGGAAGGGGAGGGAGAGGGGGCCAGGGGGGGCGGGAGGGTAAGGGGAGGCGGGAGGCCGCTAGGAGGAGCAGCATCAAGATGACTGGGGGGGGTCTATTTTTGAGGCGCCTCAAAAGCAGCATCAAGATGACTGGGGGGGGAAGGGAGGGGGGGGGGGGGAGAGTGTGTGCAAAGTGTGGGGGGAAGGGGGGAAGGGGGGGAGGGAGAGAATAAACAAGGAGAAGCGGATACTAAAAAATAGGGTGTTTCATTTTTTTTTGCCCCTCCGCGTTTTCCCCTACGCGCCTGCCCTGCCCCTCCGCGCCTTGTCCCCCCCCCTCAGGCCCCACCTGTAGAGTCTTGAACGCCGCGCCTTCCGCGCTGGCCTGAGCTGGCAGAGACGCATCCGATTGGTTCGCGCTGCAGCTGACGCCAGCACGGCGAGATCTCGACTTGAGGCCGCTCGAGACGCTAGCATCGGCACGTCGACATGTACGCGTTAGTGAAGGAACCGTTTGAGCGCGAATGCCACTACGAGCGCTGACGCTTTGGAGCGCGCAGGCGCAAGGAGCGCCGGATGAGGCGCTGAGGGATGCGCGCAGCGAAACAGACAAATGCGGAGACATGATGGCGCCCGAACTACAGTACAATAATAACAAGGGAGAGACGGGTAGGGAGAGACGGGTAATGAATGATGACAAGGGAGTGATTTCAGGCACTAGGGTACCGGAATGGAGCGTGCCTGTCAGTACTGAAAGGTTCACAGGCTGTAGCCAGAAACTCTGCTGACTGCCCCAAGTGAATCTTCAGGTGATAATTCTGAATCCTTGAAAATCACTTGAGTCTGGAATGTTCTTCCGCGTTGGAATCCACGTGATCCAGCGTGGAAGAGCAAGGGGTTGCGGTGCCGTAGAAGGGGAATTTTCTTCCTCGCTTGGAGCCGACTCTAAGCATTTGCTGTAAATTTATGACCTGTTGTGTTGGAGATACGGGTACACTATGTACATGATGCAGCATCAACAAACTTTACCTTTACCGTAACAACGAAAATAGAGCTACAACTATTGAACCGAAGGGGAGTGTTGGAAATGTCTCAAAGGACTTAAGCGTTTCTGAAGTGTAACACTACACTCGAGGAAGATCGCAACGGGTACGCGAGTCAACGGAGGTTACACAAGGGGATGGACAAAGAACGCGAAGGGACTTGAAGAGTCGCAACTGGAGGTTGCGACTGACCGTTACAACATCGCGGATGGTAACCGAAGCGACAATCGAGTCGCTGTGCGACTCGATAACCGCTCCTGCAACTGTATTCTACAACTGCTTTCTTATTTTCTATATATTGCTGTATGTTTGTTTCTTTAATCAATCACTTGTTCTCATATACTAGTACAAGGGTTCAACTGCCTCAACTTCCGCTGCACTACTCAAGTCTCATTCTACAACCGGGACTTAGTCTCTGGAAAGATCCTAAGGGCTTTTCTCAGCCCAACAAGAGTAAGATATAGCTAGACGCTTCTTCATGAGTGCACGCATTGTTGAAGTGTGGTTTACTCCAACTAGCATGAGGTTATGGGATGAAAAGGGTACCAAGGGCCATGGCAATCGCAGCACCAATAGTAATGTTCATAACATTTACAATGTCATTCGTCATCTGCACGTGAAGCAAGAAGAGAAAGCAATAGACACAAATTAGCATAGCAAATTGCACGTGTAGTTTAGGAAAATGGTGCACAGGAGAAAAATGCGCTCGCCTAAAAAATTACGCAGAGGATGTCGGCCTGCACGTACCCATTCGTAACCGGGCTTGTCTTGGAGTGTAGCCCCGACGTAGCTCTCTCCGAAATTAGCAATTTGTGAAGCCAGCACGCAGAAGAACGCACCAGTAAGGCTCACCTGCACATGCAAAGGGATGAGAGGATTGCAAAAATGAGGGGTGCAGTCTGAGTCTACTACTGTACGAAGCTCTCAGCCAAAGTCTTAAAATATTGTAGAATGACTCAGGCACAAACAAACAGCCCATACTGATATCGACTGTTTGCATAACCACTTCTGATTCCCCCTAAGCCCACTTGGTTGGTCAGCAGAGTAGCAGTTGACAGCAGCACCACACCAGCGGCCAGCCCTGCCACCATGGCCTGACGACTCGCTCTTCACACATCATACCCTCCTCCAAACAACTCACCTGGCTGGTGAGCAGCGCAGCAGCAGACAGCACCACCGCAGCCACCAGGCCTGCCAGCGTTCCCTCGAGGCTCACAGCGCCCTCAGTGCCCCTGGGAACCGGCTGGAAGGAAGTCACCAGGAAGCTGCGGACAGGAGCAGAGTGTGACAAGGGGAAGGGCAGAAAGTGGTATAATAAGGTGTGTGCCGGCGGCGACTGTGTGTGCAAATGACGACGACGGGCAGAACGTGATAAGGGAAGGGCAGAAAGTAAGGTGTGTGCCGGCGGCGACTATGTGTGCAAATGACGACGACGGGCAGAACGTGATAAGGGAAGGGCAGAAAGTGGTATAATAAGGTGTGTGCCGGCGGGGACTATGTTTGCAAATGACGACGACGTGAAACATGGCAGTCACTCGTACACTGGTGAAGCTATGGCTGTGCTCTTTGCACACCACGCACATTGGTAGATGAAAGACTTTGCTTCTTATTACTGTACGCAGCATCATCTTCTCGCATTACACTCACCTGCGCTTGCCGAACGCCTTCCTAAGCTTGCTGCCAGCAGTATTCGAGAGCTTGGTGGCAAAGCTGGCGACAGACACACTCAGCAGCCATGCTTATTGACCCGACTCATAGCACACTCACGTTCTCCTTCCAAACGCCTTGCCAATCTCGCTGCCAGCCGTATCAGATAATTTGGTAGCAAAGCTGGCGACATACCCCAGCTGCCACACCGCCACGCTCAGCAGCCCCACCCCCTCCACCCCCGCCCCCCCTGCAGCAGCGATGGCGCCCAGGCAGCATACCACAGCAGCCGCAGCCGAGCCCACCACGCTCCACGGCCCCCTCCGGCCACTCCGCTTCTCCGCTATCCCCTCCTGCTGCTTCTGCTTCAGCTTCACCTTGGTCACTAGCGTGCCCTGAAGAAAGGAGAGGGTGAAACAAGAATTGCGGATAGGGGCGATCAGACGATGCTCGAAAGCCATGCCTTGGCTATCCTGTCCCCTCCTGATGCTTCTGCTTCAGCGTCACCTTGGTCACTAGCGTGCCCTCAAGTGCAGTGGGAAGGGTTTCCAAAAAAGGAACAGCAGGGAGAAAAGGTGCTTCATGCCTCTTACACCATCCTGATGCTTCTGCTTCAGCGTCACCTCGGTGACTTTTGAGTCGACTCAAAAGTTGCTTCAGCGTCACCTTGGTCACTAGCGTGCCCTCAAGTGCAGTGGGAAGAGGTTGAACAAGAAAGGGCGTGGGCGATCAGGATGTGCTTCTTAGTCGACTCAAAATGCGACAAACCTGTCGGCCGGCGGAAATTAGGGCCTCCTCCTGCTGTTTCTGTTTCGGCACGCCCTGACGTGCAACAGACACGGGGTCTCTTCAAAAGGAGTGGGACTGGTGAATCGGTTTCTGGGGAGCCAAAAAAATTGCTTCAGCGTGCAATAGACACGGGGCTCCATAAAAAAAAGGGATTCAAAAGAGAGTGGGACACGTGAGACGGCTCCAACTAAGCAAACCAGTGAAGGAGGTGAATGGAAGGAGCAGCATAGCCTCCATACAGTCACAATTACGCACGAGAATGAAGTAGAGGCAGACGATGAGGAATCCCGGCCAGTAGAACGCCCTCCAGACAGTCACACCCAGGAGGAACGCCGACAGCACCCCCGGCACGGTCAGCCCTGCGAGCAATCCGGGCAGCCCGACGGCGAAAATAGTTGACGTGACAAGGAGAGCGGATTGCCACGTGGCAGGCTGGAGGAGAAAGGCGTCGAAGATTGGCTGCACAGCAGTCGCAACTGGAGCGGGTAATGCTGTAGAGCGTACGGACTGGCGATTCTTAGAAAGCGCGTGGGGAGAACGGGGAGAATAGGGAGACGAAGAGGAGAGACGAGCGTGGGAGAGCAAGTAAGGGAACGACGGAGAGGCGAAGGAGGAGGAGAGAGCGATGCGCGATTGATGATGTTGACTGAGAGCGACACGTGCACGGGATGCCGCAATTGGCGGCGCTAAGGAAGGCGGATTATGGAGCGCGACGGCTCTATTAGGAGGAGGAAAAGCATGGTTGGTCACCGCGGTGGAGCTGAGCAAAGGAAGGGTGGGGGAAACAGCCGCCTGGACATTTAGGAATGTTCCAGGACGCTGCATCATGGCCATCATGGTGACGTCAGCCCGCAAAGAGTGGCAAACTGGCTACTAGTTTGATAGAGTTCGAGCGTTTGGCTTACTAGACCTAGTCGACACCTAGCGTAGTTAGCTGTGCCAGAAACGAATAGGCTTTGACTTTAGTGGCTGTAACTGGCGAACCAACGCGAAATACCAGGAGGGGTGTGAGTGGGGCAGAGGAGTTGCCGGGAACGGTACTAATGCGAAAGGGTGACAACGACGAGGGAAAAATCTTGTGGAGTGACCCCGCTGGAGCCTGGAAAGGCGGCTGGCGGAATGGAGAAAACGAGAAACTGCGGCGACGAATAGATGACGGTTACGATAGCAGCTACGAGGCCCCGGAGTTCCCGACCAGTCAACACGTGGCACACTCTACGCACCTTGCGGCGCCTCGAAATTGACATGCCTCGAAGTTGACGCACTGAACTGCTAATGCCATCGAGGGTTACGCTCCTTCATAGAGAGCTTCCTTTAGAGTTTATAGCGAGGGCATCATATCTTCATATACAATTTCCTAAAACTCACCTTTGTAACCTGCGCGTTTCTGTCGTGAACGAACGGTAACTGCACTTGCGACGATGGTTGTTTTCTTGATTGGGCAGGACAGTCATGCCAAGTCAACAAAACTTGTTCCGATGAAGCCAATCACCTCCTTCCTTGCCCGCTCTTTGCGCCGTCGACAGTGCCAGCTCGACACGGTGGCAATCTACCCCAGCTGGACTCGGAGCAACCGTCTGAGCTGGAAAGCGGCTGCTGGGGGCTCAGCCAGCCGCGCCCATCTCACGCGGCCCGGTCGCACCGACATTGTGCGGTTCGATGTCTGAAATCTCCTGAAGTAGGATTCCATTCGCACGCATACAAATTCGCAAGAATTCGCACCCAGGTTTCAGAATTCACCCCACCCAAGACTCGCAGCTGATATCCCCAAATTGCCAGCCGTTTCTCCCACAATCAATCAGCAAGTTTCTCGTACCAAATCAAGTCGATCTCGACTGCTACCATGGCTCGCCTTCAGCTATTCATTCTGTCAGCCCTGCTTCTTCTGACGCTGTCGACTGCGACTGATGATGACTTCTTTCCAGCAGCCGTAAAGAAACCAGCAACATACAATCCTGGCAACAGGGCGACCAAAGCGCTGCTAGATGCTCTCGAGGACGACTACTCCGCGTTCCTGTTCTTCCTCAAGCGCGCAGGTGAGGATTCCATGTTTTAGATTTATATTCCTTACATTTACCCTTGTTTTCCTCCTTTTTTTCATCCAAAACGCCATACTAGCAAGTGAAACTCACCAAAGCAAGTCGCATGTTTTAGGCTTGGACAAGGAGCTTCCTGACCTTCTGAGCAAGTACTCCGTGACCATATTCGCGCCGACGAACGACGCCTTCAAGGCGCTGGACCGGGACACGAAGAAGAAGGTGAAGGAGGACAAGGTGCTCCTGCGCGAGCTCATGATGCTGCACATCACCAAGGGGAAGAAAACGTTCGCACGCCTCCTCGAACAGAAAAAAGACCATCAGGTAGATATTTCCCCATGATTCGGGCATTTCGAAGGAGATTCAACCCCGAAAGCAGCTCCAATAACTTTGGCGTCTGTTGGTGAAGGTGCTAGATCAATGGAGGGGAAACAGCCTCCATAGGTTTCCCTCTTTCACCTCTGCATTTTTCTTAAGTCATTCATTCATTTTCTCTATCCCTGCAGTATTCGTCGCCTGCTGCTATGGGCCAAGCGAATCTGGTGAAGCGCAGCGAGGAGTACGACGAGCCGATGATCATCTCGGCCAAGCGCGGCAAGAATACGGCCACCGTAGAGGACGCGGATGTCTTTGTGAGCAAGCTGGTTTCGGTGCAGGGAATCGATGAAGTCATCCTGCCCCGCAGCTTCCAGAGGCCTTATAAGAACCTGACTCTTATGGAGAGCATGGATCGTGTGAAGTGATGGGAAGGAGGTTGCTTATAGCACCCCATGCCATAGCTTGGTAGGGGAAGTTTTGGCTTTGGTTCTGGTAGCTTTTTATGTCTTTCAGATGGAGGAAAAGGTGCGGGGGAGGGGGGAGGGGGTTTGGGGGGGGGGGGGGAGTGTGGGAAGAGTGTGCAACATAGGTAAGATGGAGAGTGGGTGCAATAAAAAAAAGGCTTGCTTATAATCTCATGTATTAGTGCATCAATAAAATGGGGTGTTACATATTTTTTATGTACAAAATGATCCAACAACTCATGCTGCATAACGTAGTTATTGTTATGCTAGTAGTGGTACAAACTACTACAGTAACCCTACAAATAACGGAGACAGCAGGTTCTGTTTTTCTTCCATGCCAATCAGCTTCGGTTCATTCATCCTCCTCAGTAATTCCGGTTTGGGGAAAACCAAGGTTTCGGGCCAGCACAGGGAAGAGCATCAAGGATTCTGTGGCTGATCCTTCTGAGGTCCGTTAGCGAGCCACATAAATAGTCAGGCAGATATCTGGAGTAGTCAACTCCACCCATTTGCATTCTGTGTGTTTGTGCCAGTCGCTCGCGGGTCGCACGTGCCACTGGACGTCGCAAAAAGCCACGAACCAAATGGGCTCCGTAACCCTAACGACCGCTGCGACGAATCTACGACAACCAGCTACCTCGTCGCCATCGCATTGCCGTCCGCATGCGCGACACATTGCCTACAGCTTCCCGTGCGCCCATCAGTCGCTTCCACGTCAGATCCGTCCCTCGAAGAATGACTTCTTAAGCTCCCCAACACGCCCTAGAACAACCCTCTCGGTTCCTAGACTAGCCGTGACAGCAGCCGTAGCAGCCGACAGGCTCGGACCGGACGTGGACGAGGAGGCTCGGCAGGAGGTTCGGCGGCGGCAGGCTCGGCTGCTGTGGAACGTGGACGGCACGGAGAGGGGCGCGAAAGCCGACTCGGAGCGACGCGGCGAGATCGAGGAAGCGGTGGTCGACTTGGAGCGACTCGGTGGCGCGCCGCTGACTGCGGGGCTGGATCGGCTGGACGGCTGGTGGGAACTTAAATACAGTACCGCTGCTGACGTCACGGGCATTCTCATGGCGCCATCCTCCCTGCCGCTGCCCATTCTCCAGGTGCATTTTGCCGGTCAAAGCGCCTGAAAGCTTTCTCCAGGTGCGTTTTTGAGTAGACTATAAAAACACCATCGGTGCGGCTTGCCTATCAAAGCGCCTGAAAGCTTTCTCCAGGTGCGGCTCCTCTCTCCCCTTTCCCGGTGGGACTTTATATCTCTGTGATACATCTTCTTCATTTCCCTGTGCTCTTGCCTTTCCTAATGAGCGCATTTTCCGGTTTAACATTCGCCAATGTGCATCTCGAGAGGCGGTTACTGTGGCGCTGGCTGCGTTTTTCAGAGTTACGTTTATCGATCCCTCATGGACGGTTACTCTGAAAACACGTCAGGTACGTTTATCAATCTGCCTGTCCTCATGCTCAGGTGGGCGTACCGTCCGCCCTTTTTCCCCCCCCTTCCCTCTCTTCCTTGAATCTAGGCAAGCAAAGCTGTTGCAAACACGTGCACCAATATGCCAATCTCTCCCCACTCCCTAATATTCTCCCCCCTCCTCCCATTCTGCCACCTACCCCCGTCTCGCACCTGAATCCCCTGCTCCTATGTCCACGTGGGGTCCAGCTTCCAGCGCTACAATCCCCCCACCTGAAGCCCCATTCCCCCCCCCTTCTGCTTGCGTCCAGGTGTGCTGGGCCGCTTCTTCTGAGTCGGGCACCCGAAGCGTATCTTACATTCCCCCATGTCTATCCCCTCCGTCCAGGTGCGCCGTATCTTCCAGCGATACTTCTGTGCCGGGCATCCGACTGTATGGAGGCAGGGGAGGCGTGCGGATCTTACATTCGCCCCCTCTCTCCCCTGCATCTCTCCCCCGCATCTCACCCCTCCCCTCTGTCCAGGTGGGACGTATCTTCCAGCGCTACATTTGCGCTGGGCGAACAGACGGAGGCACGGTGCAGAATGTGGTTCGGTGGAGCCTGCCGGGCCTGCAGGTATGGCAACAAGGTATGGGTTCGGTTGGTAGGTGCAGGATTTAGACGTACCCTCTCCTCTACGCTTCCTTTCCGCCTGCAATGCTGAAAAATTCTCAGGTGCTCCTTTGCCCTGCTTCCCCCCTCCTCCCCCACCCCACACCCCTCAACCCCAACCCCCAACCCCCAACCTCCTCCTCCCCCTCCCCCTCTCCCCCCCCCCCCCCCCCCCACTCTCTCAAGGGCACACTTGAAGTGAGAGCCGAGTTGGACCCTCCCAGACCTGACCTCCTCTCCCTCCACCAATTCTCCTTCCCCTCCCTTTTCTCCTCCTACCCCCCCCTTCCTCTCTCTCCCCCTTCCCCTCCCCCCCCGCACAGGACAAGGAGGGTGCCTCGCTGGTAGTGACAGCGGAGTTTGACGTGCGCAGTGGCCGTGCCATCCAGCTGCAGTTTGAGCGGGCGGCGGTGGGCGGCGTGAGGATCAACGAGCAGCTGCAGGCCCTGCTGGCGCCGGCTGCACTGCCGCGCACACAGCTGTCACTAGATGTGAGACATGCATGCACATAGTGACATATATTCATGCAATGAATGACATACATGCATGCACATGGTGACACATATTCATCCAATGGCATCCATGCATGCGATGACATACATGCATGCAATTGCATACATGCACGCGATGACATACATGCATGCAATGGCATACATGCATGCGATGACATACATGCATGCAATGGCATGCATGTGTGAGGATCAACGGCCAGCTGCAGGCTCTGCTGGCGCTGGCTGCACTGCCGTGAGCACAGCTGTCGCTAGATGTGAGACATGTATGCATGTATGCTGTCATTGTGATTTTATCCAGCTGTGCTCCGCCTGTGCTGTGTCTGTTGTTGCAGGCCCTGCAGCTCTTTCGTTGCTGTCTGTGCCGCTCGGCTCCCCTCTTGCCTCTACCTGTGCTGCTGTTCTCTGCCCCTGCTGCTGTGCTCGTGTTGCTCTGCTCTGCCTGTCCTGCTATGCCCTAATGCTACTGTGTGCTGTGCTCTGCCCATACTCTTTCTGTCGCAGGCATTGCAGTTCTTCCGTTCCTTGGAGCTGTCTGTGCCCCTCGGTTCCCCGCTTGCCTCCACCACTGAGTTGTTGTCAAGGTACACTTTTTACCCGTTTCTACCTCATTGCAGCATACATTTAACCATCACCATATTCCGTGCCATAACAGTCACTTTCTCCTCGTCCTTCTTGTATCTGCTCCACACATCCACAGCTGCCCCAGTTTACACTTCATTCACTCAGACTAGGGTTTTTTCCGCTCAGGACGCACTTGCATCTGAACATCAATTTGCCGCTAACTCGATCGTGTTTTCCACCCTTCGCTTCCCCCTTGATTCAGGTCCGTTCCCGCCAATCGCTTCATGATCTCGTTTTTGGATGAACACATTTTGGTTGGCCGAGCTGTTGCCACAGGAGGTGTGTTCGTCTTTGAGAGGTCAGAGGAACCACAGTGAGCAGGGACCCGTCACTCCGTGTCAGCAATAAACATCCCCACTGAGCTTCCCTAGTTAGGGCGTGTAATCTGTGAATCAACCCGTATTGTTTGCATTGCATGCATGCTCCTGTCTACCCTTATTAGCCTCCACCATAGTTGATCTCGTCTCTTACTGCTCCAATTCTTTAACAGGAGGGTGTAACAACCGCCTGTTTCCAACATGGTTGTTCATCCTTCCACTTCGTATCATATGTCATTTTGACTCGAAGTGGAAGCCTGAGCTGTTGGTAACTGTGTTGTGCCATGTATATTGGTAGGCCTGTTCTGAATCAATTATGTTGATTTCACCTTACACGTTGGCGTTTCGCCTACGTCAAAAGGTTCGAGGATGTGCTGACAGGATGTTCGCCTGCTACGTGTCGTCTTCAGACCAGCCGTGTCGATGCTGTTAGTGCCACGGAGCCCCGCTCGGCTTCCCCTGCAATCTCAAGCGTACACGACCGCATCGTTCCGCGCTGCTGTTCCAGTGAGTGATCACGCAATCAGTGGCTGAGCCAATCAGGACAATGCAAGTGACCTCCGCGGAATCTCGAGTCTTCCGCGCAAGGGGGGAAGGCCAACGCGGAAGAGTTTGGATTGGGGGAAACACCATGGCCGCTGGCCAGCTCACGCACAAGTCAGTCCGCTCCACAACACCACTCGCGCAAATCACTCCCTGCTATTGTGATCCACCGCACCGCACCGCACTAAATTGGCTTCTGGTGGATGCTGGCCCTGGCAGCATAATCCCAAGGTCTAAAACCGAAGCTCAAATACCCTCACTTGGCCTGTACTGTTTCCTCTTCACTAACTCAAGAGTCCTATCTGCTTCCTGCTGCTACGCAGCTTTCTTTGGCACGAATCGTGCTCTGGCTTCTAGCTGCGCGGGCTAAGGAACAGCTGGACACCTGAATCGAACTGAATCTTTCGTGTTTCAGTTTAATACGTTGAGTCGAGCTTCTTGGCCATGGAAAGTGTACTTTCTATGGCGTCCACGTCAGCCATCCTGGCGTCTCAGCCCGCGATTGGGCTCAAGAATAAACTTGCAACTTCCGGGTTTCCTGGGGGACTACGATCTGCACCGTTGAGGTTCTCTCCGTCTCACGGCCAGCGTTTCAGCAAGCAAGCAGCAGGAAGGTCTAGCCTTGCTGCGCGGGCTGCGTTCGATCCGCTGCATCTAGACGCTGCCATTTCCACCTTGACCACGCACAATTTCCTCTACGCCGTTGCCGACGCGGCGGATGCGGCGGCGTCCGCAGCTGCTGACGTGTCAACCGCCGTGACGGCTGTAGCAGCTGACGCGGCGGCGTCTGGTGCAGATGCAGCGGCTGCTGCGGCCGCCGATGCTTCCTCTGGCGGGTGGTTTGCCGGGCTTGCCAATGTTCTGGAAAGCATCTTGAAGGTGAGGAGGAAGGGTAGGAGTCATGGTAGGGGAATGTCGAATACTTGATCCCCTTAAATGACGACGAGGATTGAAATGCTGACAAGCAGCACGATTGGATTGGCGCGTTGGCGTTTTCGTTGGATAACTCAAGCTGTAGCCCTTCTCGACATTCCTCTCAAGCTGCGAAAACGACATTCCTCTCTCCTGTCACGGACGGTCGCTGGGTCCACTTATTGCGTCCGTCCGTCTCTCGCGTCTCCTATTTTCCATTTCTTCGTCAGTATTTCCTCTTTTCGCGCCAATTCTTCGCCGTACCAACCCGCAGCGCACAGAAACCCCATCCCGCTGTGCCGCATCCCCCTTCCTCTATGCGTTTGCCGATGCCGCCACACGATGTCCTTCGCCTCCGGCTTCCGAATCCCGTCCCGTCGCCCTACGCATTCGAGTATGGGAGCGAGGCTTGTCTTCACCACACATCCCGCAAATTACCTTGAACTCTATTGATCTCCCCCACATCCTTTCCCCCCCTCCTCCCCTCCCCTCCCCCTCTCCCCCTTCGCCTCCCGTCGTGCCGGCCACCAGGTCCTGGAGCAAGGCTTGGCGGCGCTGAACGTGCCGTACGCGTACGGGTTCTCGATCATCCTGCTCACGCTGCTCGTCAAAGTCGTCACCTTCCCGCTCACCAAGCAGCAGGTACTGCCATGCAAACACCCTTCGCATGCGAGCACCCTTCCACCGCCAGTGATCGCCCTATATGTATGCGCTTCCCATCATCCTGCACCCATCCTGCTCACGCTGCTCGTCAAAGTCGCCACCTTCCCGCTCGCCAAGCAGCAGGTACGCGTTATCCCCCTCCGCACGCCTTGGGGTTCTCTGTCGTCCTGCTCAGGCTCCTAGTTGTAGTCGCCACCTTCTCGGTCATCAATCAGCGGGCAGGCACTCCCATGCAAACACCCGTCCCCTTACAAGTACCTATTGCATGCAAACACCCTTCCCCTTACAAGCTCCTGTCGCTCCCCCCATCCTGCTCACGCTGCTCGCTGAAGTCCCCACCTTTCCTCTCACCAACTGTCACGCAATATCAAGAGGTTCCTCATGTAACCGTTCAAGACACCATGGTTTCTCGTGAACGGCAGTGTCGCCACCTTAGCTCGTATCGAGCAGCAGCTGGGTTCCGTACGAACGCCCTCCCCTCCCAACCCCCTACCCCTCCTGCCGCTCTCCCCCTCGCACTCGTGCCCTCCGTCCGTCCGTCCCTCCCTCCCTCCGTCCGTCCGTCCGTCCGTCCGTCCGTCCGTCCGTCCGTCCCTCCCTCCGTCCGTCCCTCCGTCCGTCCCTCCGTCCGTCCCTCCCTCCCTCCCTCCCTCCCTCCCTCCCTCCCTTCCCCTCTTGCCCTCCCTCTCGCCCTCTCTGTCTCTCTCTCTCAGTCTCCATCTTCCCATTCGTTTTAACTTGACACTCACTCTCTCGTCCCCTCTCCCGCGTCTTCCTCTCCCGCGTCTTCCTCTCCCCCTCCCCCCCGTCAGGTGGAGTCCACCATGGCGACGCAGAACCTCGCGCCCAAGGTCAAGGCCCTTCAAACCAAATGGCATGTTAGTCGACTCAACCGCCCTTCTCCTTTCCCCCTCCCCCTGCCCCTCCCTCCCCGTGCTTCTCCTTTCTCTCCCCCTCCCGGCAGGTGGAGTCCACCATGGCCATGCAGAACCTCGCGCCCAAAGTCAAGGCCATTCAAACCAAATACGCCGGCGACCAGGTACTCGCCGCCCCCCATCCCTCCCCGTTTGTACCTCCGTTCCAATTATCCGCACGGCAATGCCCCTTCTTGTCTCGATACGCCCCTTCTTGCTTGAATACGGCCTCGTCTCCCCTCGCGTTGCCGTCCCTTTCCCCGCTTACTCTCTCTCGTCTCGAGCCCGTTACTCATTCCGCCCATTCCTCCCCCCCATCCCGCCATTGCCCCGACGGCGTCAATGGCTCCAGGAGCGCACTCAGCTGGAGACGTCAAGGCTGTACAAGCAGGCTGGCGTTAACCCGCTGGCAGGTGAGCGCATATCCGTTTATACATATGCATGCTTATACATATAAATATATGCTTATATGTATGATCCTCATGTGTATCGTTACAGGCCCGTTTAACGACCTGTTTTGAGACGTCGCAGAACGATTCTTGTACCGAATTCCTGCTGTGGTGACTACGCGGCGCTCTTGAGTCGGTCAATTCAACACCAGATTGGCGCGTTACTTCCTCGGTGCTGATTGTTTTTTTTTCTTTGTGCCCGTTTCTCTTCACGTGTGTGCTCTTGCAGGCTGCCTGCCCACCCTGGCAACTCTTCCAGTCTTCATCGGACTGTACCAGGCGCTCAGCAACGTGGCCAAGGAGGTGAGACTAGAAAAAGGAGGTTCTGGAGCACGTGACTGTAAGGGGGGGATCGAGAAGGTTGCATGACCACGCGAGTCACTCTTCGGTCTTCATTGGACTTAACCAGCGGCTCAGCAACGTGGCGGAGGAGGTGAGACTAGATGGCGTGACTGTAAGGGGAAAACTGCAAGGACGTGCCAAGTTGAGAAACGATGGATTCTCTCTCTTGAAGGAAAGAACCGGCAGACTCGTTTCGTCCCCTCTCTCGAATGGTCCCCTCTCTCTATCACTCCATCACTCCCTCCCCCTCCCCTCCCACCCAAACCCCCCCCCCCCCCCCCCCGGCTCTGGCGGGGCCCCACGTCCGTAGCCAGATTCCTCCTTCCACCACTGCATCCCCTCCCACCCTACCCCACCCCCTTTCACTCTCCCTCCCCTCCTCCCCCCCTGTCTCCAGGGCGTGTTGACTGAGGGCTTCTTCTGGATCCGCTCTCTAGCTGGGCCCATGCCGTGACCCCCCTCCGTCCCTCCACCGCCTCATCCCCTCTTACCCCACCTCCACCCCCCATCCCAGGGCGTGCTCACGGAGGGCTTCTTCTGGATCCCCTCTCTGGCCGGGCCCACGTCCATAGCCCCATCGCTCCCCCCACCACCTCATCCCCTCCCACTCCACTCCTCTCCACCCCACTCCACTCCCCCTCATCTCGTCCCTTTCCCCAGGGCGTGTTGACCGAGGGGTTCTTCTGGATCCCCTCTCTGGCGGGACCCACGTCCATAGCAGCTCGTGACAGCGGCTCTGGCATCTCGTGGCTCTTCCCCTTCATTGTAAGGCTGGTTCTTGTCCTCGTTGTTAAACTGGTTCTTGTACTCGTTGTAAGACTGGTTCTTGTCCTCGTTGTAAGACTGGTTCTTGTCCTCGTTTTAAGACTGGTTCTTGTCCTCGTAAGTCTGGTTCTTGTCCTCGTTGTAAGACTGGCTCTTGTCCTCGTTGTAAGATTGGTTCTTGTCCTCGTTTTAAGACTGGTTCTTGTCCTCGTTGCGAGACTCTAGTTGTCTTACCTATTATGCACGAGTGTTCCTTGTGGCTGGGATCACATCTAAAGCATGTTGTGATGACTTCATTTTTTGACATGTCTCGTTACAACAAGGCTGGCAAGAGATGCAGTGTATGCATCGTGTGGTGTATGGCGCATAAGAGGAGCGCGGCGGTCATGCATTCATCTTGAGTGGCTCCATGGTTCGTTCATCATCATTCGTTAACTCAGCGTGGGTCGTTTTCTCTCCCCTCACCCACTTTTCTACTGCCCCTTCTCCCCCCGATCCATTCTACTCAGGGGATGGAGCGCCACCTTTGGGGGGGAGGCAACTGCAGCCTACCAGCTGCTGCTGCCTGTGCTGCCAATGTTGCTGGTGGCGTCTCAGTTCCTGCAGTCCGCTTTACTCCGCCCATTCTCGTTCCCCCTCCGCCCCCCTTCTTCCCCCCTCCGCCGCCCTTCCCCCCTCCCCCCTCTTTTCTCCCCGGCACACAGGACGGGGTGCCACCTCTGGGATGGGAAGCAACAGCGGCCTATTTGGTGCTGCCGGTGCTGCTGGTGGCGTCTCAGTTCTACGCCATGCAGATCATGCAACCGCCGCAGAGCGATGTAGGTGTTGGAGTGGGTTGTGGGGATGCGAGTGGGTTGTGGAGGTGTCACTGTGGGTATGGCAACGAGTCCTACTCCGTGCAGATCATGCAACCGCCGTAGAGCAATGTGAGAGCCCGAGGATTTTGTGGGGGTGTGAATGTGGATATGGCCATTAGCTCTGTGCCATGCAGATCATGCAACCACCACGGTCAGATGTGAGTGACGGTGTGTGTGTGTGTGTGTGTGTGTGTGTGTGTGAGTGAGTACGTGTGTCTGTGTGAGAGATGCTCCTCCAGTGCCTGCACCTCATGCGCTGCACTCACACGCACTTCACTCTTCTTCTTCCCCTGCCCCTGCCCTGCGCCATTCCTCCCCTCCCCTCCTCTCCCCTTCCCTCCCCTTTCAATGCAGGACCCAGCGCAGAAGAACACCCAAGTGATCCTCAAGTTCCTGCCGCTCATGATTGGCTGGTTCTCCCTCTCAGTCCCCTCCGGCCTCTCCCTCTACTGGTAGGGTTACCATCAACCTTAAAGTGTTACCATCAATGTTTCAGTGTTGCCGTCAACCATAAAGTAGCACTGTCTACCGTCTAGGGTTTCCATTCCATCAACCTTACAATGGTATCACCGTGTCCCTCCTTCCATCCCCTCCTTCCATCCCCTCCTTCCATCCCCTCCTTCCAATCCCCTACTGACCCTACCTACGTCTACTGCTGGGGGTTTGCATCAGTCCCTGTACCTGTCAAGTTTTACATTCATTCCGCTACGGATGCGGCTTTGGCTGCGAGGTAATACCATCCCAACATGTCTCTCCCGAGGTGGCTCACAACCTTTCCTCTTCCCACCCTCCTCCCCCCCGTCCCCTCCCCCTTCTCCCAGGTTCACCAACAACCTGCTGAGCACGGGCCAGACCATCTACCTGCGCAAGATGGGGGGGGCCAAGCCCGTGGTGGCAGCTGGGGGAGGTGACATCATAGACGTGGGGCAGGCCAAGCGCTCCTCCACCTCCACTGTCGCCACAGAAGCGGACAAGGAGAGGAGCCGCGGTGAACAGTTCCGCAAGCAGAAGGAGGCCGACGCCGGCCGACAGGCGGCGAAGCGGGCGGCAGAGGAGGCGGCGCGGGCGGCGGAGGCCAAGGCAGCGAGGGAGAAGGCGAGGTTGGAGCAGCTGCGGGCGGAGATCTCAGGGGAGGGGGAGGAGGGGGTGGTGGTGGTTGAAGCTGAGGTGAGCTGCTGTTGTGGGTTTTGGCAACTGTTAGGGTACAGGGCTGGCTCCTGTAGCTGCTGCAACAGTGATTTAATGTCCTGTTCATGTGGCTTTGCCAGTCTGTCTTTGATCCCTTTCCTGCCTCTCTCATGGCTTTTCTCCGCCCCCTTCATCCCACCACTGCAGGCGGTTCCTGTGGCCGGGCAGAATGGGGCCGCAGCAGTGGAGTCCCAGGCAGCAGCACCTGATGCACCAAAGCCTGCGGTGGCCGCCCCATCTTCAGGGACACCACGGCGCAGCCGTCGATCTAGGAGGACCCGGAAGGCAACTCCACAGTAGGGTTATGGATGTACCTAGGTTCATGTTTCCGCAGCTGTTGTGATTTCCTAGTGTAGAATCCATAAGCGTGTGATTTGGCATGTGCTATATGTGTATTGAAGATTGACGATGTCTAATTTTTCTTGCTAATTAGACCCAGAGTGAAGGTGTAGGGAATTATTGGCTAGTGCGCTAAGGCATTATTGCTTGTGAATTGGTGTAACGAAATGGTATTTCCTTATCACGGGTCTTCGAGCGTGTGCCTACGAGCTTGTTCCCAGGCAACCACTTCTCGGACTCGCGAGAGACCTTGAGAGCAGGCCTATGGATAGGATTTGGAGTAGTCTTTCATGTAAGGGTATGTACCCATTGTTGTGATATAATTGATACGTAGCATTTCTGTAAGTCGATTAGGTGTAGATAGTGTCAACTTATACATGTTAGTTGTGTACAAGTTATAGGCTAGACTGAGGTATGCTTTTAGTGAGTACAACCAACTAGTATTTGTTCTAGGTTTCTACCTCTAGTTCATTATTCAGTTCTTACTTTAACATGGTATCAGAGCAACATAGGGTGGGTGGCAAGGACAGGAGAGACCGGACGAGCACGGGAGGGACGGCGAGACCAAACGTGGGACGGAGGTGTAGGGTCAGGGGACAGCGGAGGGGACACAGGAGGGGAACGAGGAGGAAGACGGGCCGGAGACTATTCCAGCGGCGGGAGCACGGAACCGTAGACAGGAAGGTCAGCCGGCGGTGGGGGAGACACCGGCGCGCGGTCCGGGGAGGGAAGGCCGAGCAGGCGGAGAGCGGAGACCGGCGGCGACGGCTGCTGCGGCGGCGGCGACGGCTGGGCCGAAACCCTCGGACCGGCAGAGGAAAAACGACCGTCGGCAGAACACTCAACAGCAGCACCCCCAGAACCAACACCCCCAGAGCGAGAACCCCCTCCAACACCAGCAGCACCCCTAGAAGACGCAGGACGAACACCCTCCTCCCGTCCCCTCCTCCCTCGTCCCTGGCTGTTGCACCTCCTCCGTTCTCTAACTACCTCCGTGCCGCTCGTCCCCTTGTCTCTCGGGTCCTTGCCTCTCTTGTTACCGACACTGCTGTTCCTGTCTCGCGCCTTGACGTGTTTGTCGCTGCTGTCGCTGACTTTGCCTCTACCCGCCGCCTTGACTACGCTACAACTGTGGTCTCTGACCCTACTCGTCCTCCGTCCGTCGGGGGTGCTCCTGCCCTTGGCAGTGACGTCCTAGAGGACAGGCAGTCCGAGCTTGCTTTCCTCTCCGAGGCTGCTCCCCAACTCTGCTCCATGCTGTAAGTCCCTGAGGGTGATCCAGACGCCTTCGACATCCCGACCCCTCGCACCTACGCTGAGGCCACCTCAGGACCTTGGGCCTCTCAGTGGATAGTTGCCATGGAGCAGGAGATGGCATCTTGGAGGTCCACCGGCACTTACGTCGACGCAGTTCCCCCGCCTGGGGTGAACGTAGTCGATGGTCGGTGGCTCTTCAAGGTGAAGCGCCCCCCAGGAGAGGCGCCTGTCTTCAAGGCGCGCTATGTGGCCAGAGACTTCAGTCAGCGCGAGGGGGTTGATTTCTTCCAGACCTTCGCCCCGACCACGAAGATGACCACTCTTCGGGTGCTGCTACACGTAGCAGCACAGCGCGACTACGAGCTTCACTCCCTCGACTTCTCTACTGCCTTTCTTCAGGGCAGCCTATACGAGCAGGTCTACCTGCGTCGACCACAGGGCTTCACTGGTACCTTCCCCCCTGGGACCGAGTGGCTTCTCAGGTGCCCAGTCTACAGCCTGCGTCAGGCTCCTCGCGAGTGGTACGACACGCTGCGTGCCTTGTTAGCAGACCTGCAGTTCTTTCCGTCCTCTGCTGACCCCTCGTTGTTTGTGGGTTCCGGCCAGACTCCGTTCTACATCTTTGTCTGCGTAGACGACCTGGTCTTTGCTATTGCTGACAGGGACGCACTGGCCTCTATGAAGGCCGAGCTGCTGAAGAGACACACCTGCACTGACCTTGGAGAGCTGCGTCGCTATCTTGGCCTGCAGATCTCTAGGGACAGAGCAGCACGCACCATCACTCTGACACAGTCACACCTGGTGCGTCAGGTCCTTCAGAGGTTCGGTCTTCAGTTCTCCTCCGCACAGCCCACACCTCTACCTGTAGACCATGGGCTCTCCGTTCGTGTTCCTGAGGAGCCCGTAGAGCCCAGTGGTCCCTACGCAGAGCTGGTGGGTTACCTCATGTACCTGATGACTTGCACTCGCCCAGATCTCGCATACCCTCTCAGCATCCTAGCTCGCTTTGTGGCTACAGGCAGACACCGACCTCAGCACTGGTTTGCCGCTAAGAGGGTTTTGCGTTATCTTGCTAGTACTACGGGCATGGGGTTAGTGCTAGGAGGACGCAGGCCAGTGGTCCTTACTGGGCACACAGACGCTTCTTGGGCAGACGACTCTGAGACGCTCAGGTCGTCGCAGGGCTACCGTTTTAGCCTTGGTTCGGGTGTTATCTCTTGGAGATCCACTCGCTTGTCGTCTGTGGCTCAGTCCAGCTGTGAGGCTAAGATCTACGCTGGTGCCATGGCGGCACAGGAGCTCCGCTGGCTGACCTTCTTGCTCACAGACTTAGGTGAGCGGCCTAGCTCTACCCCGGTCCTGTACGCTGACAACAGGGCCATGATACTCCTGTGTCAGGAGCCTCGGCTTGAGAGCAGAGCAAAGCATATCCAGCTGCGGTACTTCCTCCTGCGCGAGCTACAGCAGCGACGCCAGGCCCGCGTAGTTCACTTGGCCTCAGGTGCCAACACAGCTGATATCTTTACTAAGGCGCTTGCGCCTAAAGAGCATCAGCGGCACTGTGTACAGCTTGGTCTTGTTCCTATAGCTACTCACTTGTTAGGATCCTGATTGGGTACTCTCTATTATATATGCCTGTCAGACTGGCCTTGTGGCCTTACCTCCAGTGGCTGGACTAGTAGTGCCGCCCTGCCTTGCTGTAGTCTTGTTTGTACCCTTGCTGACTGGTCTCCAGACCCCTGCCTCAATGGTTGGACTAGTAGTGCCACCATGAGCTGTTTGTTTCTTGCTTAGCTTCACCCCTTGTCTAGCCTAGGGGGTGTGTCAACTTATACATGTTAGTTGTGTGCAAGTTATAGGCTAGACTGAGGTATGCTTTTAGTGAGTACAACCAACTAGTATTTGTTCTAGGTTTCTACCTCTAGTTCATTATTCAGTTCTTACTTTAACAGATAGTGTCGAATCCTACTGTAGAACATAAGTCCGTAGGATGACGTCAGCAAATAGCGCTCGCCATAGGACAGCTGTTTTAGTCACGCGAACAGTCGCACCTCTTCATTATCGTTTAGGGCGCATAGCACGATAGTGACGAACAGGTACATTAGCGAATAGGCACTTTCCTAGAGCTATAAATCTTTGTTATGTTCTTTTCATTATTAACCTTGAGATTTCAACATTGAGAACTTTGAGACTTAAACTTATGCAAAACATATACTCAGGTTCATTCTTACAAGACTTCCGCTGTCTTACTAGTCTACCATTCCAGTAAAGATCCTGGACCAGCACTTGAGGATTTCCAAAGTGTTAGTGTTTGCAATTTTATACTTAGTCTTCTATAATATTTGACAAGTTATTTCACCCAAGACCACTTTTTCTGTAAGGGTTTTTTTTTTTTTTTTTTTTTTTTTTTGGGTTGCGGAGCAACCTATTGCGATCGATTGTGAGGATTTTTTTTTAAAGTTTGTGATTTGGAAAAAACTATCAAAACTAAAAAAAAAAACTTACCTAATAAATTATTCAATACCTAAAAATAAAACGTTTGTCATTGTTTTTTTAATTTCCCGTGGCGTATTTTTGTCATTGACAAAAATAGGCTATCTTTTCCCCAGCTAAGTGGGGGAAGTCGAAAGCCTATTATGTCGACAACACTCGCGATAATACATTTCATGATAGCAAGAAAAATATATTGCACTTATCACCTCCAGTTCTATCCATGTGGTAAATGGATGTTATTGGGCCAACAACATACATGAAGAGAAAATCATCAGCAAGCAATAAAAATTTGACAAGCAACGATGCAATTCGGACAGCTTGGAATAGGAACGGCGTTTAACCGACGCCCATACATGGCAAACGATACAATAACAGTGAGTAAAATACTTTCGCAGCTGACAAGTGTGCAGATGACGACAAACGAAAACGTCATGAACTACGTTAATCGCAACCGTACACTACGAGATCAACTGGAGAAGAGTGGAGGATACTTCCCTCATGAGATGTATCTCACGGTACTTCTTGCTGGTCTTGGACCCGAATGGCGACAGACTTGCGCCTTCCTGCGAATGAACCCGAACCTTTCCGAAGCCGAAATTTCTTCATATCTTCAAGCAGAGCAGCAAGATCTTGACCTGCAGTCACAACGCAATCACAAGAAAGGGGTTCATTTAAGTTTTTACTCCAATCCAGAACCACAGGATCGACATCCTCCAAAATATCCATTCTGCCATTTTTGTAAGAAACCAGGAAATACTTACCAAAACTGTCGCAGCCGTCATCAAAATCGTCGCAGCACTTCTCAGCCATATCGCCAATCGCAGCGGTTAACAAAGACACAATAGCCACTGAAGCAGTTGCTGTCTCAGCAGCAGCAGATGCCGAAACCGCCACAGAATTCATCAACGTCGCAGAATCGCCCGCCGATCTTCGCATCTGCCACATCAGGAAAAGGGGTTTTTGGATGTGTTACCACAGTTGATATTTCCAAAGCAGATTTCGAGACACAACTTGAAGAAACCACCAGTGCGGAAGGCATTCCCTTACCTCAAGTTTACGCTAACCTTGCTCGAATAATTTCAGGTCCGAATACTTGGTATCTCGACAGCTATTGCGGTTGGCACATGTGCTCTGCAGAAACAAGCTTCATTACGAACCAGCGTCCACTTCGTCGTCCGATACCTGTCACAGTCGCAAATGGACAAACTATTATGGCACGTTCTGTTGGGAGTGTAATGCTCGAATCTATCGACACGGGATATTCACTACACGTTACCAATGTTCTTATCGTCGCTGGGCTTGGCTTCAATCTTCTCTCCACAAAATACGCACACAGGGCTCAGCTCCTGGCGCACAAAATACGCACACAGGGCAATTGTGAAACGATGGATCAAGAACTCTGGCACAGTTC